ACTTTAAAGCACAACACAAGTTTAGAACGAAAATAACGTTTTTTTTTTACATAAAGTAACTGTTTTCTAGTCTGTTTGATGCAGTTTATTCGCTGTTGAAGAATAAAATCCACCGATTGCCCATCATCGATCCAGAATCAGGAAATGTCCTTCACATCCTCACGCACAAGCGAATTCTGCAATTTATCTACATTTTTGTGAGTACATTAGAAACATATATAATCTATCGCCTGGTCATAATCCATGTTTTTATCCCATTGCTGTCTTTGGCTGCTCCGGATCAGGCTGAAATGATTCCCAAACCCAGGATCCTTCAGCGACGCATCAGTGAAGTGGGGATTGGCACGTTCAGAGAGATCGCCACGGTGCAGGAATCAGCCACGGTTTATCACGCTCTGAGCATTTTTGTGGAAAGAAGAGTGTCTGCTTTACCCGTGGTCAACGAACAAGGTCTGACTCCTCCGTGAGAATCCTGCACTTAGACTGAGACGCAGCTGGGCTTATTCAAGATTCAAGATTAGTTTATTATGTCCCGTAGGAAAGTTGTCTTGGACTCACGGCTACATTGAAAATACACATAAGACAGACATAAAAACACAGTAACACTCTGCTCCATGGTCTGCATTCAGGAGGTTCACAGATATGGGTAGGAATGAGTTCTTATACTGGTTTAGAACTTATTTCTAGTTGTCCTTGGGCAAGACACTTAACCTCTGGGAACAGCAGGTGCCACAGTGGGGCGGCTGTGGCTGTAAAGTGACAAACTGTGGTTGTGTCCTTAGGCAAGACACTTCACCCCCATTGCCTAGAGTGAGTCTGGTGTGTGTGTGAATGGTTGGTGGTGGTGGGAGGGGCCGATGGCACAGACTGGTTGCCTCGCTTCTGTCAGTGTGCCCCAGGGCAGCTGTGGCTACAGTAGTTTATCACCACCGTGTTTGGAGATAATTAATAATGACACATGTGAAGAGACTTTGAGTGTCCACAAAAGCGCTTTATAAAACCGATGCATTATTATTATTATTATTATTCTCTGTAGCGGCGGCCTGATGGGAGGAGCTCATACTGAGAGTGGAGGACAGAAGGGTCTGTGGTGATTTTCTTTGCCGGTCTAATAACAGTCTCCTCTAATATCTGCTGCAGAGATGGATGCTCCCTCACTCCCATGACCTTAGGTGTTGTGCGCACTAATCTGTGAAGTTCTGCTTATGTGTGTGCTGTGTCCTCCCTCCAGGCAGAGTGGTGGCCCTCTACTCCAGGTTTGACGTCATTGTGAGTCCATCTCTGCATCATCTCACGCTCATAAAGTCCGTGTTTATTTTATGTTTGATGTTTTGTGACAGAACCTTGCAGCACAAAAGAACTACAACAACTTAAACATGACGATGCAAGAAGCCCTCTCGTGCCGGACGTGTTGGGTGGAGGGCGTGGTCAAGTGTTATCCGTATGAGACGCTGCAGACCGTTATGGACCGCATCGCAAAGGCCGAGGTACAGCTGCAATTCTCCACACCCTATTCAAAGTATTTGTGTTTAAATCTGCAGAGAGAGAGTCCAGTTTTTATCTTTTGTGTTGCCAGGTGCATCGTTTGGTGTTGGTGGACGGTGAAGAAATTGTTCGGGGAATAGTATCTTTGTCTGACATTCTACAGGCACTGATTCTGTCTCCAGCAGGTATTGACGCACTTACAGCCTAGTGCTGCCTTCTCCAGGTCGACCACTTTCTGTGTTTTACTTTGTTCTGGACAATCACCATTTCCCCCTTTTCCTCACATCCTCCCTGAGTTTTCAACATAACCTTGAGGATTGTGTTGCTTCCTCTGGAGTTCCACAGTGTTCCCAGTCTTGTCTAGCTTTCATTTTGTCAGCATTTTACAGTTTTAGTGTAACAAAACCATGAAAACAGGCATTCGACAGATCTGGAGGTCTTATTTACTGTATATTCAGATTTCCCCAAAAGTCTCGCTAACTCAGCTGCCCCCGTGACCTGGAAATGGATCTATCATTTTGTGAGACAATCAGACGGATCGTGATGGAGTAAGACCAGCAGTGGATCTTCAGAAAAGTTACTTATCGCACCTTACTTTGTCTAATTTGGTTCAAAATGTGGCCTGAAGCACCTTAAATATGAGGAAATCCGGTCCCGTCACTGCTTCACTAGTGCAGAAGTAAGTTTACCAAAGTTATCGTTCCTGTCCCACAATCTACTCACGATCTTTCAAACTTCTCCAGTTCAGCCAAAGTTAAGGCTGCTGCCCTTAAGACCTCTCTCACGGTTCGCACGCTCAGGTAGGAGAGCTCTGCACGTCCCACGCTTCAGTTCTGCTTTGGCCAGTGACAGAAACAGTGCATTCCAAATGAAGATAGCGAAAAGGAGACATTCTTAAAACTTTTGTTGCTGTGTTTCTGCCTCAGACTGTGTGTGAACAATGGAGACCGGGTCCTAAAGGCTCTTCTTGTTCATGTACAGTCTGAGCTTATCAAAATACAAGCAAAGATAAAAGCCGCATCTTGGACACTTTCAAACATTGAACTTAAAACGTTGAAATACTCTGTACAGGACGATTCCAGATAAACAGTACAGACCAAAAGTGTGGACACCCTCTCTCCTTCTTCTTTTCATGACTATTGCTGTAGACCCGCACCAGGCTGTGTAAGGGCTGTTTGACCAATAAGGAGAGAGACCGGACCTGAACCCAGTCCAGATGGTTTTGGACCTGAACCCAGTCCAGATGGTTTTGGACCTGAACCCAGTCCAGATGGTTTTGGACCTGAACCCAGTCCAGATGGTTTTAGGGCTGGACCACAGAGTGAAGGGGCCAACAAGTGCTAAGCATCATGGGAACTCCTTCCAGACTGTTGGAGACCATTTCAGGTCCTGTTGAAGCTCATCCAGAGAATGCCAAGAGTGAAGCAGTATCAGAGCAAAAGGAGCTACTTTGAAGAACCAGAAAATAACACATATTTACACTTGGTTCATACTTTTTTACTACGAACATAATTCACATGAGTTCATCATAGGTTTGATGCCCTCAGTGTTAATCTACCATTTTCATAATCATGAAAATAAAAAACTCTTGAGATGGTGTGTCCAAACTTTTGGTCTGTACTGTACTTGTGTTCATATATCTGCATGTCCAGGTTTACATCATTTCAATGAACACAAGTTGTTTTTTTCACTTCAAAAACCACTGATTGACGTTTCCATTCATTGATCTGATGCAAACTGAGGTTTTTTAGTGAAAATGCATTAAATTAGATTCATCTCTCGCCGTTTCCAGATGTTGATTGTGTTTGTTCTTGTGTGTTGCAGACATCGCTGTGAGATCTCCCTGTCGACTTTGAAGAGAATCTCCTTTAAGTTACTTTCTTAGTGACGGTGACTTTCCAAAAGAATAATAATCTGACGGCAGCCAGAAGGAATAACCATGAAACTAATGGACACGACCTGGAACATAACCTAATAATAATAATAATAATAATAATAATAATAATAATAATAATACATTGGTTTTATACAGCGCTTTTTTGGACACGCACACACACACGCACGCACACACACGCACGCACGCACGCACGCACGCACGCACGCACACACACACACACGCACAGACTTTAGCAGACCTGTGTAAAACAGTAAATGTACAGAATCCATGTTTTTGTAAAGTTTGAATCTCCACTTTGTTCTTTTTTGTTTCCTTTTGTACATTTTGGCACATCTTCTAAAAACGTCAGCATGTTTAAAATACTGCAAAGTTATTAAATAAAATCACACAAATACTGTTTATGCAGAAAAAACGTAATTATGTAAATGCATTTTTTATAACACTCTTTGACTTGAAAATGAAATTAAAATAAATTGACTTTTACTGTGGTCGTTGGTGTGTTTCTACGATTGTATTTTATTCTGTTGAAGTTCCTAAAGGATAAACTGTTGTAAGTATTATTTATTTTATTTATTTATTTTATTTATTTTATTTATTTTATTTATTTTATTTATTTTATTTATTTTATTTATTTTATTTATTTTATTTATTTTATTTATATTATTTATATTATTTATTTTATTTATGTTATTTTTATGAAGCTGCTTCGTCTCGACTGTAATTGTGTCGTTTTGTTTGTTTTTGGCACAAGCTTAACTCTGATCCTTCAGTCGCTGTTTACCAGAGGTGTGTGTTTGTGAACTCTGCCTCCTCCACATCCTGCTGCTGTCACCACACACACACGCACACACACTGATACACATACACACACACACACACACGCACACACACACGCACACACACTGATACACACACGCACACACACTGATGCATACACATACACACACACACGCACACACACTGATGCATACACATACACACACACACACACACACACACACGCACACTGATGCACACACAGATACACACATTGATACACAATCTGATACTCACACACACACTGATACTCACACACACACACGTCCCACACACACGTCCTACACATGACTAAAAGACAAAGACAATGTTTTTAATTGTTGTAGTTGTGTGAATAAATGTAGCAGACAGATCCTGATGGAGCTGCAGGGAGGCGTCTGCTCCAGCCTCCTGAGCAAACACCACCTCCTGCTCCCTCAGTCCGGTCTGGATTCAGTCTGCTTTGGATTCAGTCTGCTTTGGATTCAGTCTGCTTTGGATTCAGTCTGCTTTGGATTCAGTCTGCTTTGGATTCAGTCTGCTTTGGATTCAGTCTGCTCTGGATTCAGTCTGGTTTGGATTCAGTCTGCTCTGGATTCAGTCTGGTTTGGATTCAGTCTGCTTTGGATTCAGTCTGCTTTGGATTCAGTCTGCTTTGGATTCAGTCTGCTTTGGATTCAGTCTGCTTTGGATTCAGTCTGCTCTGGATTCAGTCTGGTTTGGATTCAGTCCGGTTTGGATTCAGTCTGCTCTGGATTCAGTCTGCTCTGGATTCAGTCCGGTTTGGATTCAGTCTGGCTGCGTAGGCCAGTCCTGGTCTGTCATGGAGCCCACGTTCAAGTAAGACATTTTACTCTTTTCATTTGTTTTGTAGTATTTTCATGATGAAGGTTAAAGGTGATTTTCATGTTGTGGTATTTTAAACGTGTATTAAGGGTTATAACAGCAAAATTGTATACACTTTTTTGTTTATACTGAGTGAAGAAAATCTGGAGTTTGGGTTTGAGGCCAAATATTTTCAGATGTCATTTCAACTTGGCTTCTGAAAACACAATTCCTCTCTCATGTGTGCAAAGCAATCAAGCCACACAATTGCAACATTTGACTGCTCACATCGAAGGACCTCAGTCTACTCAGAAAGAAAAGTCTGCTCTGACCTTTCTTATAGACAGCATTGGCCTGAGCTGACCAGTCCAGTCTGTGGTCCAGGTGGACTCCCAGTCCAGTCTGTGGTCCAGGTGGACTCCCAGTCCAGTCTGTGGTCCAGGTGGACTCCCAGTCCAGTCTGTGGTCCAGGTGGACTTTCAGTCCAGTCTGTGGTCCAGGTGGACTCCCAGATATTTGCAGGACTGAACCACTTCGATGTCCTGTCCATTTATTGTGACTGGTCGTTGGGAAGGGCTCTTGTGAAAGTTGATGATAATCTCCTTGGTCTTGGACGCTTTGAGGATCAGTCCATTTTGCTCCAGTCTGAGAAGGCAGCCCCCACCTCCCTGTGCTCTGCTTCATCCCCCCCTCACACATGTCACAGCGGTATCATCCGAGTATTTTTGTACATCTGCAGTGTAAATAGTGAAGAGGAAGGGACCCAGAACAGTACCCTGTGGTGCTCCTGTATTGCTCACAACAGTCCCAGACACGCTCTTCTCTAACCGGACATACTTTGACCTCACAGTGAGGTAATTATAAATCCAGTTGGTAAAGATGGGATCAACTCTGATTTTTTCCAGTTTCTCCTTCAGTAAGAGGTTGGATGGTGTTAAATGCATTGGAGAAGTAGAAGTACATCAGGCTCACATAACCTCCAGGGCCATCCAGGAAGGACATGGAGCATGTAGAGGACCATCCACTCCCAGTTTCCCCTGATACTGCAGGGGTCAAGAGCCTGCTCCTGTGGCATGAGCAGTCGGAGAACTAGCCTCTCAAAAGTCTTCATTATGACAGATGTTAGTGCGACTGGTCTGTAGTCCTTGCATCCTGTCGGCCTTGCTAGAGGAGCGGGTACCAGGGGGATGGCTACCAGGGGGACGGGTACCAGGGGAGCAGGGACCAGGGGGACGGGTACCAGGGGAGCAAGGACCAGGGGAGCAAGGACCAGGGGAGCGGGTACCAGGGGGACGGGTACCAGGGGGGCGGGTAGAAGGGGAGCAAGGACCAGGGGGACGGGTACCAGGGGAGCAGGGACCAGGGGGACAGGTACCAGTGGAGCGGGGACCAGGGGGACGGGTACCAGGCAGGAGGTTTTCCAGCGGAACACATTCAGTCTGAAGACTCTTGTTTATGAAGATAAATGTGTGTAAATGCATTTTTGTATTAATAAATATTGATGAAATTGATTTGTTGTTTTCTCTGAAAATAAAGTTCTAAAATATTTTTTTTACCCCAGAAATTATTTTGGTAAAAATAACTGACCTAATACAATCTAATGGTTCCTTCTGTACATGCATCACACTCATCCCTTTTGCACCAATAATTATGTTTTAACAGAATTGCCAAGAACCTCTTTGGTCTTAAAGTAAAGAAGAAGAAGAAAAAGAAGAAGAAGTCTGACTTGGTCCTGATGAACCCAGGAGCTCGGGGTAAGGAGAGTTAAACAAACACTCTGTGGCTCCAGCCTTTGTCAAACAGTCACAGGCCATCTGTCCATGAACCTATGATCACACACTGTCCATGAACCTATGATCACACACTGCAGATGAACCTATGATCACACACTGTCCATGAACCTATGATCACACACTGCACATGAACCTATGATCACACACTGTCCATGAACCTATGATCACACACTGCACATGAACCTATGATCACACACTGTCCATGAACCTATGATCACACACTGTCCATGAACCTATGATCACACGCTGCAGATGAACCTATGATCACACACTGTCCATGAACCTATGATCACACACTGTCCATGAACCTATGATCACACACTGTCCATGAACCTATGATCACACACTGCACATGAACCTATGATCACACACTACACATGAACCTATGATCACACACTGTCCATGAACCTATGATCACGGCACGGCGGCACGGTGGCTGAGTGGATAGCACTCTCGCCTCTCAGCAAGAAGGTCCTGGGTTCGAATCCCGGTCGGACCAGGGCCTTTCTGAGTGGAGTTTGCATGTTCTCCCCGTGTCTGCGTAGGTTTCCTCCGGGTACTCCGGTTTCCCCTACCACTAAAAATATGTCCAATAGTTCTGGCATGTGCCTCCTGTACTGGCCCCGCTCCCATCTGTGTGTGGAGTGAGAGACAAATGCCCAAAATTAACAATTGTAAACCGCTTTGAGACTCAGATCTGCAGTGAAAAGGCGGTATATAAATAAAAACTTACTAACTTACACACTGCACATGAACCGTAATTATGGTCTATAAAATTCTAAATGGGCTTGCCCCCCCCCCCATTGCAGGAGTTCCTACAGCTGAATGTAAACTCAAATACGCGATCATCAAGCAGAGGAGATTGTAAAATCCCATTCAGAAAGACTTTATTTGGACAATCTGCCTTCTCAGTTCGCGCAGCACATTCCTGGAACTCGATCCCAACAGAACTGAGGAACTTGACCTCAATCCACACTTTTAAAAACTCTGTCAAGAAGTGGCTTGTGGACAATCAAAAATGTGAACACATGGTTTAAAGTCACAACCATTGATACTTTGCTGTATGGAAAACTGTGGTGTCTTGTGTATTGTCCCTCCGATCTTTTATCTGTGCTAATGTATCTATTTTACATATTTTATCACATGTTACATACCCTGTTTTGTTATGTCTCTGTGATGGTGTGTGTCTGCGTGTGGGTCTGTATGTGTGTGTCTATGTGTGCCTGTTGTATGCTTTATCTGTCTTAATATCAACCTGCCATGGGACTACGGATGAAAATTAGCCTACATGGCTAACTCTGGCACATTTACATGTTAAAAACACATGTTGATGAATGTGCACTGTCCCAATTCAAATAAAGATAAAAAAAAAATAAAAAAAATAAAAACCTATGATCACACACTGCACATGAACCTATGATCACACACTGTCCATGAACCTATGATCACACGCTGCACAAGAACCTATGATCACACGCTGCACATGAACCTATGATCACACACTGTCCATGAACCTATGATCACACGCTGCACAAGAACCTATGATCACACGCTGCACATGAACCTATGATCACACACTGTCCATGAACCTATGATCACACACTGTCCATGAACCTATGATCACACGCTGCAGATGAACCTATGATCACACACTGTCCATGAACCTATGATCACACACTGCACATGAACCTATGATCACACACTGTCCATGAACCTATGATCACACACTGTCCATGAACCTATGATCACACGCTGCAGATGAACCTATGATCACACACTGTCCATGAACCTATGATCACACACTGTCCATGAACCTATGATCACACACTGTCCATGAACCTATGATCACACACTGCACATGAACCTATGATCACACACTGTCCATGAACCTATGATCACACACTGCAGATGAACCTATGATCACACTCTGCACATGAACCTATGATCACACACTGTCCATGAACCTATGATCACACACTGTCCATGAACCTATGATCACACACTGTCCATGAACCTATGATCACACACTGCACATGAACCTATGATCACACATTGTCCATGAACCTATGATCACACACTGCACATGAACCTATGATCACACACTGTCCATGAACCTATGATCAAACACTGTCCATGAACCTATGATCACACACTGCACATGAACCTATGATCACACACTGCACATGAACCTATGATCACACACTGTCCATGAACCTATGATCACACACTGCAGAAGAACCTATGATCACACACTGCACATAAACCATGAACCTATGATCACACACTGCACATGAACCTATGATCACACGCCGCACATGAACCTATGATCACACGCCGCACATGAACAACCAATGTTGCACGGTGCGTGGCGGCGGTGACAGCGCCCGTCACTCACCACAACGTGACAGTTGCGTGCGTCGACTCAAACGCTTTCAAATGAAGTATAATGTGCCATCTCTTTCATTAATTTGTCTCAAAATGGCTCCACATCATTTCCACAAATGTAGCATCAGGAGTTAGCACCAGAGTTTGGGTCAAACAAGCAGCAGAGCGGCACGTTCTATTGTTGTCTTATCTCAATAGAAGCACATGAAAGTAACTCACTGATCAAAGCATTTCAGTTTAGTGTTTCTCCATCAGGGCCAGATGGGGGTCAGGGCCCCCTCCTTTGGCGGCAAGGGCCGTTTGACACCGCTTGCGGCATTATTTATTTATGTTTTTTTATTTTATTTATTGTCTGTAAAGTGCCTGACTCAGATATAATGATACAAACACTTCCATGTGATTTTCTGCAGATACTGAAACAGAAGGTCACTCTGAGGAATGTCAGGATGAAGAAGACCTGGATGATCCCTGCTCTGCCAGAAGAAAACAGAGACAAAACCATAAAAGGTCAGAACCACTGAGTCAGAACCACTGAGTCAGAACCACTGAGTCAGAACCACAAAGTCAGAACCACTAAGTCAGAGCCATTGAGTCAGAACCACTGAGTCAGAACCACTGAGTCAGAACCACTAAGTCAGAACCACTAAGTCAGAACCACTGAGTCAGAACCACTAAGTCAGAACCACTGAGTCAGAACCACTAAGTCAGAACCACTGAGTCAGAACCACTAAGTCAGAGCCACTGCTCCAGGATCTGAGATTTGACCATCTGTCGTAGTCTCCAGTGCCTTGGAGTAGACCTTACTGAGGCTGAGGAGTGTGATCCCACCATAATTGGAACACACCCTCCGGTCCCCCTTCTTATAGAGAGACCACCACCCCGGTGTGAGAGGGACGACCACCCCGGTCTAAGAGGGACCACCCCGGTCTGAGAGGGACCACCACCCCGGTCTGAGAGGGACCACCACCCCGGTCTAAGAGGGACCACCCCAGTCTACCACTCCATTGGCACTGCCCCCGAGAGCAGAGACGTGTCAGAGACAGTCCTACAACATCCAGAGACTTTAGAGTCAGGACAGACCTCCTCCCGGAGCCTTCAGGAGCCTTCAGGAGCCTTCAGGAGCCTTCAGGAGGCTTCAGGAGGCTTCAGGAGCCTTCAGGAGGCTTCAGGAGGCTGCCCTCGGAGACCTCAGGGAGATGGAAGAATCCGCTCCAACATCCTCAGAAATAAATCTTTATATTTGAAAGGACCATAGCTGTTTCCTCGTGCATTATCTCTTCTCTTCATCTCTGTCTTTCCAGATCCAATCTAAACACTCGTATTCAGGCGTGTGATGGAAAACCAGAGCGTTTTAGGGTAAGAACCCTGCACCTTCTGCACCTTCTGTCCCTTTGTCAAACACTGAGAATAATATTCTCTTTGTGCAGGTTTCCATTAACATCACAGAAGCTCGTCAGCTCGTCGGGGACAACATCGACCCGAGTGTCGTGATCGAGATCGGAGACGAGAAGAAGCAGACGTCAGTGAAAGAGAGCACCAACGCTCCCTTCTACAACGAGGTACTGTTGATGGTACTGTTGATGGTGTTATTGTACCCACAATGGTGTTATGGTATCTACGATGGTGTTATGGTACTGACGATGGTGTTATGGTATCAACAATGGTGTTATTATGGTCACTCATGGTCTCAGAACCACATCTCCTAAAATTATTCACTTATGTTAAATTCTCCACTCGCCCCTGGGCCCCAATCCTTCATCTTTTATCAAATCACACCTCTGGTCTCTCAGCCCACTCATTTTAGAATCAACTTCTCTGTCACCTCTGGTACCATGCCCCCCGCCTTCAAAATGGCCGCCATCACACCCATCATAAAAAAACCAAACCTGTATCCAGACGACCCCAACAACTTTCGCCCAATCTCCAACCTTCCCTTTCTGTCAAAAAATCTCAAACGGTCTGTCGCTGCTCAACTCAAATACCATCACAACTCCAACTCTCTCTTTGACACATTTCAATCCCGTTTCCGTTCCCACCACAGCACTGAAACAGCACTGCTCCAAGTCACCAACGACCTCCCCCTCACCTCAGACTCTGGATCCCTCTCCATCCTGTTACTCTTGGACCTCTCCGTCCCCAACAACTGTTCCTCCCGCTGCATCCCAGTCACAAACGGAGCACCTCAAGGCTCGGTGCTTGGTCCTTTTCATTCTCTACATGCTCCCCATTGGCCACAACATTTCACCACCAGGGTTTCAAATTCCACAGCTACGCAGACGGCACCCAACTTTACCTCTGAGCCAAATCCATAACCCCTGCCACCATCTCCTCCATCACAAACTGCATATCCGCAATAAAATCCTGGATGTCCACTAACTTCCTCAAACTCAACTGCAAAAAATCTGAAATAAATATTATCCGCCCCAAGTCACTCCTTTCCAATACCCAGAACTTCACACTCTCCATCGACAGCCACACCATCTCACCCTCTGCTCAGATCAGAAACCTCGGAATCATCTTTGACCCCACCCTTTCTTTCCAGCCTCCCCCCTCACCTCTGGAACACTCTCCCCCCTCACCTCAGGAACTCTCTCCCCCCTCCCCTCTGGAACTCTCTCCCCCCTCACCTCAGGAACTCTCCCCCACTCTCTCCCCCCTCACCTGACTGGAACACTCTCTCCCCCCTCACCTCTGGAACTCTCTCCCCCCTCACCTCGGAACTCAGGAACTCTCTCCCCCCTCCCTCTGGAACTCTCTCCCCCTCACCTCAGGAACTCTCTCCCCCTCCCCCTGGAACTCTCACCTCAGGAACTCTCCCCCCCTCCCCACTCTGGAACTCCCCCCCTCCTCTGAACTCTCCCCCACTCGACCCCCCCTCCCCTCTAACCTCTCCCCTCACCTCAGGAACTCTCTCCCCCCTCACCTCTGGAACCTCTCCCCCCTCACCCCTCAGGAACTCTCTCCCCCCTCACCTCAGGAACTCTCTCCCCTCCCCCTCTCCCCCTCAGGAACTCTCTCCCCCCTCACCTCGGAACTCTCTCCCCCTCACCTCGGAACTCTCTCCCCCCCTCACCTCAGGAACTCTCCCCCTCCTCTCTCTCCCCCCTCACCTCAGGAACTCTCTCCCCCCTCACCTCTGGAACACTCTCCCCCCTCACCTCAGGAACTCTCTCCCCCCTCCCCTCGGAACTCTCTCCCCCCTCACCTCAGGAACTCTCTCCCCCCTCACCTCAGGAACTCTCTCCCCCCTCACCTCAGGAACTCTCTCCCCCCTCACCTCAGGAACTCTCTCCCCCCTCACCTCTGGAACACTCTCTCTCCCCCTCACCTCAGGAACTCTCTCCCCCTCCCTCGGAACTCTCTCCCCCCTCACCTCGGAACTCTCTCCCCCTCACCTCTGGAACTCTCTCCCCCCTCACCTCAGGAACTCTCCTCCTCCTCTCTCCCCCTCACCTCGGAACTCTCCCCTCACCTCGAACTCTCTCCCCAGAACTCTCACCTCTGGAACTCTCTCCCCCTCTCCCTCAGGAACTCTCTCCCCCCTCCCTCTGGAACTCTCTCCCCCCTCACCTCAGGAACTCTCTCCCCCTCCCCCCCCTCACCTCAGGAACTCTCTCCCCCCTCACCTCAGGAACTCTCTCCCCCCTCACCTCAGGAACTCTCTCCCCCCTCACCTCAGGAACTCTCTCCCCCCTCACCTCAGGAACTCTCTCCCCCCTCACCTCAGGAACTCTCTCCCCCCTCACCTCTGGAACTCTCTCCCCCTCACCTCAGGAACTCTCTCCCCCCTCACCTCAGGAACTCTCTCCCCCCTCACCTCAGGAACTCTCTCCCCCCTCACCTCAGGAACTCTCTCCCCCCTCACCTCTGGAACTCTCTCCCCCCTCACCTCAGGAACTCTCTCCCCCCTCACCTCAGGAACTCTCTCCCCCCTCACCTCAGGAACTCTCTCCCCCCTCACCTCTGGAACACTCTCCCCCCTCACCTCAGGAACTCTCTCCCCCCTCCCCTCTGGAACTCTCTCCCCCCTCACCTCAGGAACTCTCTCCCCCCTCACCTCTGGAACTCTCTCTCCCCTCACCTCAGGAACTCTCTCCCCCCTCACCTCTGGAACACTCTCCCCCCTCACCTCAGGAACTCTCTCCCCCCTCCCCTCTGGAACTCTCTCCCCCCTCACCTCAGGAACTCTCTCCCCCCTCACCTCAGGAACACTCTCCCCCCTCACCTCAGGAACTCTCTCCCCCCTCACCTCAGGAACTCTCTCCCCCCTCACCTCTGGAACTCTCTCCCCCCTCACCTCAGGAACTCTCTCCCCCCTCACCTCTGGAACACTCTCCCCCCTCACCTCAGGAACTCTCTCCCCCCTCCCCTCTGGAACTCTCTCCCCCCTCACCTCAGGAACTATCTCCCCCCTCCCCTCTGGAACTCTCTCCCCCCTCACCTCAGGAACTCTCTCCCCCCTCACCTCTGGAACTCTCTCCCCCTCACCTCAGGAACTCTCTCCCCCCTCACCTCAGGAACTCTCTCCCCCCTCACCTCAGGAACTCTCTCCCCCCTCACCTCAGGAACTCTCTCCCCCCTCACCTCAGGAACTCTCTCCCCCCTCACCTCTGGAACTCTCTCCCCCTCATCTCTGGAACTTGGACTCACTAAACTCCTTCAAAAAATAGCTAAAAACTCACCTCTTCCTCCAAACATCCGACTCTTTCCTGCTTTTAGATTTTTAATTTTGTGTGTCTGTCTAAACGTGTGTGTGTGTGTGTGTGTGTGTGTGTCCTGAATTGTGAAACGTCTTTGAGTTTTTGAAAAGCGCTGTATAAAACCAATGTATTATTATTATTATTATTGTACTGACGATGGTGTTATTGTACCATGCACTGTAAACCCTAACAAGTAAGGTTTACTTGAAAAAACCTTGGAAATAAATTGCATATTAACTTCACTTGAATTACTCGAGTACATCCTTTACTTGATATTACCAAGTAACTCAAGCGATTGCAATAAATTTTAAATTTTGCACCCGACCAGGAGTCGAACTCACAATCTTGAAGTTGAGAGGTGGAGGTGCTCCCCACTCAGCAACCATGCTGCCTTGCCCCATTTCACCCCGGTCTTATTTAACCCTATACACGTCAAAATGTCAAAAGTGAGGCTTACTTGAACAGAGACAGTTCAATTCAAAGAAAACCCTGAGTGATATCGCCAAGCTTTAAATAAGCTAACAATAAATGAGTAATATCCACTTACTGGGAAAAATCTATTTAGAATAACTTTGATATCTGAAGTACGCTTGAAGTTAAGGTTTACAGTGTGTGTTATTGTTCTGGTCCTAACTGTGTTTTTGTTTCTCCCGTTAGTATTTTGTTTTTGACATCTTTGCCCATAAAGAAGTCTTCCTTGATAAAGTGATCAAACTCTCTGTAAGTGACACATGAAGAACACAAATGATACAGTTATAAATATCATCATCAAATAAATATACAGTAAACACAGAGTTACTGATCATTAATGCATCACACATTTACAGGAGAAACTAATACAACACAGAATCACTACACACACACACACACACACACACACACACAATTACAAATGATATAGAATGAATATAAGAAGTACTTCCACTTTCAATTAAAGTATTGGACCTTTACATCAAGAGAAACTTAAACTTCTGAAGCCCAACGCTGCTTGTCTTGTTATTTATCACACAGTATGATCAGGATAAATACTTAATCCTTGTAGAACGTAAAAGTCTGACACGTGCACTTTTTGTTCAGGTCATTCACTCGAAGATGCTGCGCAGTTCCTTCATCGGTTCTTTTAAACTGGACGTCTGGACCGTCTACAAACAACCAGGTAATGTGGCCCTTTTACAGAATGTACGAAACTGAATTTAAAACGTATTATATTTAGGTCATCAGTTCCTCAACCGCTGGGCACAACTGACCGACCCCAAAGACATCAACACCGGAGTGAAGGGTTTTGTGAAATGTGACATCAGCGTCTCAGAAAAAGGCGACGTCATGGAACCAGTTCTTAAAACCAGCGACGTGGAGGAGCAGATCGACAAGTATGACACATCCAGAGATCGAGAGGCCGTGGTGCTGCTGCTTTCTGGTTTACGCCTTTGTGTTTTCACCGTAGAAACCTGTTGTTACCTGAAGGATATCCCTCTGAGCGTCCGTGGGCTCAGTTTTTTGTGAAGATTTATAAAGCCGAAGGTCTGCCTCGAAATAGTTCCACCATCATGGCCAACGTCACCAAGGCCTTGATCGGAGACAGCGCGGCTCTCATTGACCCCTTTGTGCAGGTCCGCTTCTTCAAACAAGTGGTCAGTCACGTTTCCACGTTTCTTATCGTTGCGATGACTTTTATTCAAATTCATGTGTTTTGGTCGATTTGAGGGTCGTACTTCCACTCAGCGGTCCTCGGCTGATCCGGTTTGGAACGAGCAGATTGTCTTCACCGAGATGTTTCCGCCGCTGTGTCAAAGAATGAAGATTCAGGTGTGGCTTTGAGCAAACAAACCCTGACTTTGTAAAATGGGAATATTGGGCCTCATTCACGAACGGTTCTTAGGAACAGATTTGTACGTAAATCCTATTTACGCGGTTTTTACGAAGAAAGTGGCATTCACGAATATTTCTCGTAACCAGAATTTCTCTTGGGCAAGTACAAATCCTACGAGTCCTCAGGAGCACTCGTACGCATTCAGTGCCGACATGTTCACAGCCGGGGTTGTCCTGTTTGGTGAAGTTGAATAAAAATACAACATTCCAGTGATATGTCCGTCATATCGATGTATGTATTTATTTATTTGTAGTAATCTTTATTAGTAATCTTTATTTATATACCGCCTTTTTCACTGCAGATCTGGCCTACTTTTTAATTCATTTTGAAATGAAATGTGCCAACGCTTTATCAAATACATTGGAAATCTTGCCGTGTATTAGTGACCCCTTCCTATTTATAGGGGGCATTTCTTTATCCACGGGCCACAGAACAACGGCATATATACTGCTGCTGCAGGAGGTTACTGGGTCCGCGCTGAGTCTCTGCGCTGGTGTCTCCCATGGATCTATACGGTCTGCACTGGTCTCTCCCATGGATCTATACGGGTCTGCACTGGTCTCTCCCATGGATCTATACGGGTCTGCGCTGGTCTCTCCCATGGATCTATACGGGTCTGCGCTGGTCTCTCCCATGGATCTATACGGGTCTGCGCTGGTGTCTCCCATATACGGGTCTGCACTGGTCTCTCCCATGGATCTATACTGGTCTGCACTGGTCTCTCCATACGGATCCGCGCTGTCTGGTCTATGCGGTCTATCTTCGGTCCGCGCTGGTCTCTGCGTACCGGTCTCTCCAGTCAGGTCACTACAGTCTATGCGGTCTCTCCAGTCAGGTCACTCCAGTCTATGCGGTCTCTCCTATAGGTCCGCGCTGGTCTCTGCGCACCGGTCTCTCCAGTCAGGTCACTCCAGTCTATGCGGTCTCTCCTATAGGTCCGCGCTGGTTTCTGTGTGCTGGTCACTCCAGTCTCTCCTCGGGTCTGCATTGGTCTCAGCGCTGGTCCGCGCTGGATCTCCTCCCAGGGTCCAAAATATTTTGAGATTAATCTCAAAACATTTTGAGATTCATCTTTAAAATAATACATAATATATTTTTAAATTAAGCTCATAACATTTTGAGATTAATCTCATCATATTCTTAGATTAATCTCATAATTTTGCTAGTTCGACTTTATTATCATAATATTTCGACTTTTAAGTCAACATTTTATAACTTTATTCTCAGTCTGGTAAAAGAAGAAAAAAGGGTGACTTTTGCTCCGTGTAAAGGCCTGTTGCTGTTTCCTCTGCCGTCTGCACACGGCCCTGCAGTCCCTTATATGGGCATTAGTGGGCGGTTACTTATGCTAAGTACCTATGCTAATGAAGCACCTGGCACGCGCGCTCTACTTACGAGGAAATGGGATTCATCAATCTGAGAGAACAGCTGCGAACAATTCAGCGGCTTACGAGTGCGTTGATGAATCCCACGGGTCTTCTTAGAAATCTACTTAAGGACAACTTGAGAAGAAAGTTGAGTAGTTTCTTACGAAGTTATTCGTGAATGAGGCCCATTGTTATTTAACCTACTTTTATTTAACCTACTGTTATTTAACCTACTGTTATTTAACCTACAGTCCTGCCTGACAGAATCACATGACATACACAATAAGACAGTTCAGGCATTCTTTGTGACTTGGTCTTTAGAGAACAGAGCACAAAGCAGCTCAGCCTCTTCCAGAACCTGTCTGCTTGAGAACAGGCTGCAAACTCCTTCTGTCAGAACATAACACACCTCCCTCTGCAGATAGTAAAAGAACAGAACCAAAGGCACTCCGTATGGTCGGCACTAGATCATACACGGAATCGGGACAAAACCGGAAGTAACAATCCTACTTTCAAAATACTTTCAGACTAATAAGTACTTAAGTGGTGACTGGTTAAGTTTTAGGCGTCTGAGTAAGATGGTTAAGGTTAGGGTTAAGGTGGTCTGAGTAAGATGGTTAAGGTTAGGGTTAAGGTGGTCTGAGTAAGATGGTTAAGGTTAGGGTTAAGGTGGGTCTGAGTAAGATGGTTAAGGTTAGGGTTAAGGTGGTCTGAGTAAGAAGGTTAAGGTTAGGGTTAAGGTGGTCTGAGTAAGATGGTTAAGGTTAGGGTTAAGGTGGTCTGAGTAAGATGGTTAAGGTTAGGGTTAAGGTGGTCTGAGTGAGATGGTTAAGGTTAGGGTTAAGGTGGTCTGAGTAAGATGGTTAAGGTTAGGGTTAAGGTGGTCTGAGTAAGATGGTTAAGGTTAGGGTTAAGGTGGTCTGAGTAAGATGGTTAAGGTGAGGGTTAAGGTGGTCTGAGTAAGATGGTTAAGGTTAGGGTTAAGGTGGTCTGAGTAAGATGGTTAAGGTTAGGGTTAAGGTGGTCTGAGTAAGATGGTTAAGGTTAGGGTTAAGGTGGTCTGAGTAAGATGGTTAAGGTTAGGGTTAAGGTGGTCTGAGTAAGATGGTTAAGGTTAGGGTTAAGGTGGTCTGAGTAAGATGGTTAAGGTTAGGGTTAAGGTGGTCTGAGTAAGATGGTTAAGGTTAGGGTTAAGGTGGTCTGAGTGAGATGATTAAGGTTAGGGTTAAGGTGGTCTGAGTAAGATGGTTAAGGTGAGGGTTAAGGTGGTCTGAGTAAGATGGTTAAGGTTAGGGTTAAGGTGGTCTGAGTAAGATGGTTAAGGTTAGTGTTAAGGTGGTCTGAGTGAGATGGTTAAGGTTAGGGTTAAGGTGGTCTGAGTAAGATGGTTAAGGTTAGGGTTAAGGTGGTCTGAGTGAGATGGTTAAGGTTAGGGTTAAGGTGGTCTGAGTAAGATGGTTAAGGTTAGGGTTAAGGCTGGGTTGGGGTTATTTTATGGGAATGGCTGGTTAAGTTTAGGAATAGGTAGTTTGTTATATTTCCGTCCTGATTCCGTACATGATCTAGTGCTGACCCACTCCGTATTAGCGTATACAAAGCCTGCTTCCTCCTGATGTTTAACTCATGAACCCCAGAGTTCTTGGAGCCAATGTGAATTACGATGCAACCTTTCAGTATACAACATATAAACTAGCCAAACATGACTTATTGAAATGACAACTTAAACAAAATTCCAATGAACAAATGTGATCATTTTCCGGCAGGTTTGGGATGAAGGAAGTATGAATGACGTTGCCATAGGAACGCATTACTTTGATCTCAGACGAATCTCCAACGAGCAGGATGGAGACCGGGGTAAGAACACTGATACTGGTTATATTCATAAAGTTATTCTGTTTTCATCATATATTGATATTGTTATATTATTCTTCTGAGGTTTTCTACCAACATTTGGACCTGCCTGGATCAACTTATACGGCTCCTCCAGAACCCAGACTCTGGGAGATGATACGATAGAACTGAATGAGGGCATTGGAGAAGGAGTGTCATTTAGGTACGGGATTTATTTCAAGGAGCGTTTGTTGGTCTGGTTCACTGTAACTGGACCAAGACTGGTTCACTTTAACTGGACCAAGACTGGTTCACTGTAACTGGACCAAGACTGGTTCACTTTAACTGGACCAAGACTGGTTCACTTTAACTGGACCAAGACTGGTTCACTGTAACTGGACCAAGACTGTAAAACCATCAAACAGATAAACATGTGTCTGGTCACTTATGTCAGTTTTTATCATTTGATCCGTGCCTTGGTCGGGTAAAGTGAAACCAAACCAACAAATGTCACCCGCTGAATTCTACTTTTTTATAATTGCATGAATATTTGTTTTAGGGGACGTATCTACATTGAGTTGGTAGTGGAAATCCTCTCTGGGGGTTTAGAGTCAAAGCAGAGCATAATCAGAAGCATGAAAGATGTTAAATCTGGAAAAGCCGAAGCAGATGGAGCACCGGCAGCCGCCACTGGGGGCAGCACTGAGGAGGGCAGGGCAGAGGCTCAGTCCCTGGAACCTCCCACGAAGGTGCAACAGAACGAGAGGTTTGGGTTAAATACAGAGTTGAACGGATGTATTCTTAATGGTTCTCTACTTCTTTGTCTTAAGATTGAAGAAAATGAGAATTTTTATCTTTTTGGAGCTTTGCTTGAGGCTTCTATGATTGATCGAAAAATTGGAGAAAAGCCAATCAGCTTTGAGTTCTCGCTTGGTAAAAAGAACTTTTCCTCTGTCACAATAAATCATCATAATACGTGAGGTTTCTCTTTAAAAACTGTTTCTTTTACTTTCTCTCATCAGGCAATTTTGGAAATGTGTTTGATCCGGCGTCTCCGGCCGCTGCGTCTGCCCCGAGTTCTGCCCTGGCTCGCAGGAGGAAGGCTCTGAACGTCCCGACGGACACTGACCTTTTGCGCTTCTCCTCCAGCGGATCTCAGACACCACTTCTGTCCAAACAGCCTCCAGACCTTTCCAGGATCTGCAAGTCTGCTACTCCCCCAGAAAAGCCACACTTAGTTGAAGGCAACAGGTTTCAGACGTTTTTCATATTATTATTGATTCTTATTCAGTATAAAATAATGGTGTATATTTGTCAGGCACTACATGTATCTGTCTCTGGACAAGAAGAAGCCGTGTGTAAACCTGATCAGTCAGTGGGAGGGGAGGACCTACCGACTCTACGTCTCCAACATGCTGGAGGGCATCGCCATCCAGTTTGTGCGTGACCTTCATAACTGCTGTTTGTCATCCTTTCATTTGTTTTAAACATGGTCTTGACTTGTTTATCACTGACTTCTGTGTCCAGGAGGAGGGCTTGGTCACTGTCACCGAGTCTCTGCGGAAATCTGATCCCAGAGTGAACTCTCAGCTCCGAGTCGTCCTTGTAGAGTTTTGTTCAGACGCCAGGTGCCTCTTGTTTTGATACTTTAATTACTATTGAATGTGACATCAGTTCTTAAAAATGCTAATCTGTGTTTCAGGGAGTTCATAGCTACAGCAGACGCCATGGTCAGAGCTGAGGGGAAGTCGGACTATCTGACTCTACTGGACAAGAAGCGGCTCACCATGTGCAAGCAAGAGCTGGTGAGAGGTTCCAACAACAACACGTTTGTCTGGCTGAATGTGACAATAATTACATTTCTAAATAAGTATCTAACTTGTGATGTGCTCATTTGCAGCAAAGTATGGTTGAGGAAGCAATGTCTCTCTCCTTGAGATTGAGAAAAAGTGACATCATTAAAGAAATGCTGAGAGAGGCCAAAAAACTTACACAGAAAATAAGATTTCTTGTGGAAGAGGTACAGATGACACGGTTAAGTTTGTGGAAGAATTGTTTTAAAAGTTCTGTATCTGTGCTCAGCCTCAGCACACGGTCCCAGACCTGTTCATCTGGCTGCTCAGCAATAACAAACGGATTGCATATGGCCGCGTGAAAGCTCGAAGCATCATGTACTCCAGCAGCGCAGAGACCTGCGGCATCGACTGTGGCAAGGTTCAAACACTGTTCCTCAAGGAAAGTTTGGAGGTCTTTGGTTTTTAAATTTAGAAATGTATTCATAATTTCATAATTGTTAATTCTAACCCTTTAGACGTCTTCAAAGAAAAACATACTGAGCTTGTCAGTCCTGGCAAAGATCGATGTTTACCTGTGGTTTGGAGTCTTCTCTGACGCCTGGCACATGCTGGACAACCTGCCTCCGGGGTTAAGTGCAGGGGCCCCTGTGGACCCCAACCACCCACCGCTGCATCTGGACGTCACAGGTGTGGACTTTTGGGCTATCTCCCTTCCCATTTGTATCAAACTGAGATGGTTAGGGTTAGGATGTGGTTTTTGATATATATATATATATATATATATATATACTATAACATGATTTCATGTTGGAATCTGTGTCATACTGTTCAGTAAACGAAGGATAAGAAGCAAATAAAATGTAAAATAATTGTATTATTTGTGGCCTGTAAACGTGTCTACAGAGCAGCATCGGTTCCAGCTCAGGTGCCACATGTACCAGGCCAGAGGTTTGATCGCTGCAGACACCACCGGTTTATCCGACCCCTTCGCCAGAGTCACCTTCTTCTCACACAGCCACAACACAAATGTAGGCCTCCTCTTCTTCCTCTCCTTCCTCTTCTTCCTCTTCTTCCTCTTCTTCCTCTCCTTCCTCTTCTTCCTCTTCTTCCTCTCCTTCCTCTTCTTACTCTCATTCCTCTCATTCCTCTTCTTCCTCTCCTTCCTCTTTTTTCTTTCCTTCCTCTTCTTCGTCTTCTTCCTCTTCTTCCTCTTCTTACTCTCATTCCTCTCCTTCCTCTCCTTCCTCTTCTTCCTCTTCTTACTCTCATTCCTCTTCTTCCTCTCCTTCCTCTTCTTCCTCTCCTTCCTCTCCTCCCTCTCCTTCCTCTTCTTCCTCTCCTTCCTCTTCTTCCTCTCCTTCCTCTCCTTCCTCTCCTTCCTCTTCTTCCTCTCCTTCCTCTCCTTCCTCTTCTTCCTCTCCTTCCTCTTCTTCCTCTCCTTCCTCTTCTTCCTCTCCTTCCTCTTCTTCCTCTCCTTCCTCTTCTTCCTCTTCTTCCTCTTCTTACTCTCATTCCTCTCCTTCCTCTTCTTCCTCTCCTTCCTCTCCTTCCTCTCCTTCCTCTCCTTCCTCTTCTTCCTCTTCTTCCTCTCCTTCCTCTCCTTCCTCTCCTTCCTCTCCTTCTTCCTCTCCTGCCACAGACAGCGGAGTGGCCACATGTCTGTTGTGTGTTTCTGGTGCAGATTATCCAACAGACGCTGAGTCCTTCATGGGACCAGTGTTTACAGATGAGTCGGATCATGTTGGGAGGAGAGCTGGGCTACATCGAGAGCGAGCCGCCGTGGATTGTTATCGAGGTCTACGACGATGACGCTCTGGTACTTTTTATTTCATGATGATCAATATTTACATTGTAGGGCTGCATTGTACTTCTCAGATTCAAGTCTTTTATAGTATCTGAATGAATTTATCAAAACCCATAGCTGTCCCACTGGTTGCTCGATCTAAACACGACAGAAGTTAAATCGTTTCTTATTCTGACTGACTTTTGCCTCAACGTTGAACTTTAAAGATACTTGTCCCCATCAAATAAATCTATCAATAAATATGTTGTGCCCTATCCATGGGGTTATGTCCTCTTGCTCTGGCTGCAATGTGCGACCAAACTGAATTACACATATACATACATATTCCGTTATCCTCCTGGCATAGATTCCTCCCTCCACCAGGGCGGATCTCAAATGAGGGTATTAGTTCCAACGCATGGGCAGGACAGAATGGGTCGTCTGGTTTGTCGTTCGGCCAAGATGGTGCTACTATGTGTATTATAATACTTTTGTGTGACTCAGGGTAAAGCTGAATACTTGGGCTCGACTGTGGTGGTACCGACCGTTCAGCTGGCGTCTGTAGATTACGCACCCCCCTCCCTCCAGTACTACCCTCTGCACTGTGGAAACCTGCACGGAGGAGACGTCCTGGCTGCTTTCGAACTGATACAAGTAACATCACAGTCTGTACATTCTACATAAGTATCTAGAGGACGTGCAAATGATATGATACTAACTGTTGTCAGGTCCCTGAGACTGGAAGTTGGAACCTCCCACGACTAAAAGAAAATGAGGCAGGGTTCCTGATGGTTCCACAGAACATCCGCCCGGTTCTCAGCACGTACAGGCTGGAGGTGAGAGTCTCTGCTTCACTTTACTATGATTATTATTATTATTATTATTATTTTAATGCGCTGGAAAATGGCAGCAAGTCCTGAGTGTCTCTGAAACAGTTGTTGTTTTGTGTTTTACTACTGTTATTTTTCTTGCTTTTTTCTGCCTGAGATGTTGCTGTAGTTCAGGATTCATGGTTTTACACTGGTCCAGACCAGAGCAGAGAGGATTCATGGTTTTACACTGGTCCAGACCAGAGCAGAGAGGATTCATGGTCCCAACCAAGTGGATCATTCCATAATCCACTGGAGGAATGCTAACTTTATGAAAATGTTTAGCATTTTACTTTGGACCAGAGCAGAGAAAATGGTCTGAACCAAGCTCCACCTCTGCTGTAGCCTGGTTGTACCAGTGAAATGATTGAGCAGAGTGTACGGAGGGCTAGGGCCAGGCTACCTCTGCTGCGGTGACCTGAAAGACTGTTTATTATATTATTATTACTATTCTTAGTTTTTAGAATGATCCATTTTATATGTTTTGTTTTTGCTGCTATTGGACACCTGCATTTCTCCAACAGGGATCAATAAAGTATCTATCTATGACTCACGTTTGGAAACTATTGCGCCAACTACTTTTAAACATATATTTTCTCTAGGTTTTGTTTTGGGGTCTCAGACAGTTGAAGAAAGTTCAGCTGCTGTCAGTGGACCGGCCACAGGTGAAGAAGCCGTATTTCACAATCCTGTTTCCTGTTCTATAAAACACAAACAAGACACAATAAAACTTTGTGAAACTGCCTCGTTTTAGGTCTTTGTCGAATGTGCCGGCAAAACTCTGCGATCCTCTGTCATTCCAAAATACAAGTCAAACCCTAATTTCCCAACTCAGCTTGACGTAGTTGAACTGGTATAAACAACATCATTGATAATAAGTAGTTACCAGAACCATAAGTGTCACTTTTCACAGTTTATATGCTTTTTAGGAGTTACCAGAGAATGAGCGCATCCATCCCAATTTGACGATTACTGTGGTGGACTGGCGGGCGTTTGGACGGAGCACTTTAGTCGGAAATCACATCGTAAGCAACTTAAAAGCCTACGCATACGTGCCCCCCCCGGCCACGCCTGCTTCCATGGCTCCCAAAGCATCACGAGCCTCAGAGGGTACGATAACTGTGATTCATAACAACGTAAACACAGGTTTTCACTACAACAAAGTGTATGTGTGTGTTTCAGCTCAGAGCCAATCAGAGAAAATCATATCTATTGAAATCCCAAGTCCACAAATTGAAATTTCAGTGGACGACAGTCACGCACCGTCCAAACCTGCGGAAGATAAAGTGGAAAAGGTGAGCTGTGTTTCAGGAGAAATCATATCACTTAATGAGTTATTTATTTAGTTTTTTTGATTGACTTTAAGGATCAGAAAGCAAGCAAACGCTATCGTTCTTCTCGGCATAGGAAAAGAACCATCGCTGATGAGTCCGCAGAGAGTGTCATCGACTGGTGGTCCAAATACTACGCATCGGTGGAAAAACTGGTACACAAACATTCACTTCAGAATAATAACTTTGTACAAACAGTGTGTGACCTTATCTCTGCCTGACAGGCTAAACAGAAGGACGGCACCACTTTAAGCCCTCTATTTGCAAAAGGTATTGTCATATTTTGATAGTTTTGTAGAAATTCTGACCAAACACTGCAAAAAGTGATCAAAAGTTAGTCAAACATTGCTCACATTTGGCCAAATCTATCTTTAATTGAACACATTTTGACTTCGCCTTTAAACCAGATTTGCCAACGGGACAAGCAAAGATATCTTGCTTTTAAACGATACAAGAAACATCTTCGTTGGAATGAGACCAAATGCTTTTCCCCATTGGCAGATCTTGATTTAAGACAAATGAGTCAAATGACAGAAAAAAACACATGGATTCCAGCCTTTTTTACCTTATATTCTACATTTATTAATCAGATAAAAACCCAATCAGGGCAAATGCAGATAATGTCATGTATTTAGTGTATTAAAGTGCGTTCCGCCGTTCGGCCGCCAACACTCGCTGTTGTTGTTTCCAGCCTCCGTGTGTCAGTCGCTGCTCAGTGACGGCATTGACTCGCTCGGTAAGGACTTAGCCGGGATTTGACCCAAACCATGGCGTGCTGGGTTCCTGTCGTGTTATTGGACTTGCATGTTGTCTGTGGTTGTGTTAAGGTTCCCCAGACCCTTTTTTTTTATAAATTACTAGAATCGAATGGATTTTACTAATCGTTGTTTCTGTTGGTTTTTTTCAGTGGGTATTTTTGAAGGAGACAAAAAGAAGAGTAAGGAAAAGAGCAAAGAGACTTCAGGTCCAGTCCCAGTAACCCGCAGGTTCGCGACTCTTGAGGTAATTCAATCTATCAATCAATATTTACTCACAAAAGACACACATTATTCCATAAATCTCAAACATTAAAATAACACAGGGCACTGAAAAACAATCATGAAGGGGCCACAGTGGCTCAGTGTGTAGAGCATTGGCCTTTGAGGTGCCACAGTGGGGCGGCTGCGGCTGTAAAGTGCCAAACTGTGGCTGTGTCCTTAGGCAAGACACTTCCCCCACACTAGAATGAGTCTGGTGTGTGTGTGAATGGTTGGTGGTGGGAGGGGCCGATGGCACAGACTGGTTGCCTCGCTTCTGTCAATGTGCCCCAGGGCAGCTGTGGCTGCAGTAGTAGAAAGAAGTGTCCAAAAAAACGCTGTATAAAACCAATGCATTATTATTATAGTATTAAAAACACAACAATTACAATCACACGGTTAATGAAAAATGACACAACGGATTAAAAACCACAGACAAAAACAAATCTAATCCAAAGATCTACTTTTAATACGAAGAGTTACTTTTGTTTTGTTTGTTCTCAGCTTTACAGCAAAGAGCTGGAGGCAGAGTTTGATAACTTTAACGACTGGGTGGACACCTTCGAGCTGTACCGAGGAAAGGCCAACACCGACGATGGCGACGAGAGATTTGTCGGAAGGTTTAAAGCAAGTGGACTTTGGAGAATTACCGACTCGTTTTTAAAAGTGGAAATAAGTAAAAAAGTCTCTCTGTTGTTCCAGGGTCGATTCTGTCTTTACAAAGCCCCCGAGGATGAAGACAGCGACTTTCAGGACGACACAGACTTTTTCAGAGTCAATCGGGGAATTCCTCAAAACAACTCGGTCAAAGTTATCGTCAGGATCTACATTGTTTCTGTGAGTTTAACTGATTCACTGCTGGATTCACTGCTGGAGACACTGCTGGATTCACTGCTGGATTCACTGCTGGATTCACTGCTGGATTCACTGCTGGATTCACTGCTGGAGACACACACATGGATCTGAATGAAGTTGAATGACATTATTGAGCATTAACGGTTTTAGTTTAAGATAAAATATTCCTTTATTGGTCTCACACTGGGGAAATGTCAGTTTCATCGTTGCAGATTGTGGCTGAGTGGTTAGCACTCTCGACTCTCAGCAAGAAGGTCCTGGGTTCGAATACCGGTTGGAACAGGGCCTTTTTGAGTGGAGTTTGCATGTTCTCCCTGTGTCTGCGTAGGTTTCCTCCGGGTACTCCGGTTTCCCCTACCACTAAAAACATGTACAATAGGTCTGTGCTTCCTGTACTGGCCCCGCCCATCTCTGTGTGGAGTCAGAGACTAATGCCCAACAATAACATTTCCTTTGTGACTCTGGTCTGAGAAAGGCGGTATATAAATAAATATTACTTACTTACATCACAGCAGAAAGAAGGAAATAAGACTCAGACATCAGAGTCTATTATTTAAGATTATAGACAATAAAACTAAGATAAAAATAAAATGAAATAAACTCTGGAGCTATAACGTCACTTGGTTCAGAAGTATTTACAGATGTGTTCATTGTACTTGTGTGGATGTGTAATAATACAGTAATAATAATAACAGTCGTTATGATGTCCATAGTTTATCATAATACTGTCTGTCAGAGAAAATAAGTCAGTTTTTCCATCTTAGTATTTGATTCAGAGATTATGTTTTTGTGTTTTGTCAACGCTGTTACTGTAACTATCGCATGGCTGTGTTTGTGGCCTGTTTCACATTTGCCTCTAGTGGTAGCATAGAGAGTTACACATTTCCCTTTAATATGTGTTATACTACAGAGTAATAATTCTGAATGGTATAATAATGAATATATTTGTAATGCATCATAATTCTTCTTTAAATTCTCTAAAACTTGCCCGACATTACCCTCTGCTCAGGCCACCAACCTGCATCCTGCGGACCCCGACGGCAGAGCGGACCCCTACATCGTTCTTCGTCTCGGCAAAAATGAAATCAAAGACAGAGACAACTACATCCCCAAACAACTCAACCCGACATTTGGAAGGTGGGAGTTTGTAGATGAAATATTAGAACCATATGTGTGTGTCGCTCTACACACTTCATGGTTGTGTTTTGGGACCAGGTCGTTTGAGATCCAGGCCAAGTTCCCGCAGGAGTCGCTGCTGTCGGTGCTGATCTACGACTTCGACCTGGTGGGAGGAGACGACCTGATGGGAGAGACCCTCATCGATCTGGAGAACCGGTTCTACAGCCGCCACCGAGCCACCTGCGGCCTGCCCACCGAGTACAGCGAGTGAGGCCACTTCACCGTTCACTCACGGGGAGAAAAATGTTCCAGTTTGGAGTTGTTGAAAATATTTTGGATTCAGAAATAAATATTTGAACAATGAGGAAACTATGGAGCAAATTTGAATGAACCGGAAAAACAATTCAGACCTTCTGGGAACTAAATAAATGTATAATTTATTCAAGGTCATAGTCAAAAAAAGAAAAAAAAAGAAGCGACAGTGGCTCAGTTGGTAGAGCATTGGCCTTTGGGCCTGAAGGTTGTGGGTTTGAGCCCACCACAAGACCTACTTAACGACTCCCACTGATGTCTGCTGTCGTTGTGTCCTTGGGCAAGACACTTAACCCCACTTTGCCTGAAGCCCCCGCTGAAAGATCTCAGCTCCTGTGGACTCAGCACCTGCAGGAGGATCAGTGAGGGGCTGGTGCTCTGACTGCCACCCCCTAACCCAGAAATGGATTAAGGGGAAGAAAATGGATGGATAGAAGAAGTTCTGAAAACTAAAGAAAAAATATATATATAAATGCTACTGTTGTAGCCACAGCTGCCATGGGACTGATAGAGGCGGGGCAACCAGTCTGTGCCATTGGCCCAGATGACCACCACCAATCATTCAAACACACATTAGACTCATACCAACGAGTGGGTGAAGTGTCTTGCCTAAGGACACAACAACAGTTTGATACAGCTGCCCCACTGTGGCAGATGGTGTTCCCATAGGTCTCCCATCACAGCACTAACCAGGCCCTGCCCTGCTTCTGACAGGTCTCCCATCACAGCACTAACGGTTGATGGTTGAATTAAAGTCAGTTCTTATCGTTTGTCCTTTGACACTATTGTTGTATATTCTCCAGAGAAGGGTACAACGCCTGGAGAGACTGCCTCAAACCCTCTGAGATCCTGACCAAGCTGTGCAAAGACAACGCTCTGCCCGGGCCTCACTTTGAGCCCGGACGCATCACTGTCGGGGACAAGGTCTTCACTGGGACCACGGTCGTCATGCACGAAGGTAAACAAACAAATGTCATATGGAAATAATCTACGTATCATTATTTTAAATGAGCAGTGTGTAAACATGTGGCCAAAAGTGGTACTGCAGCCTCTCCCACTCTCCCTGACTCAGGTTGCCAGATATGCAGACGAATCCAGCTGGGACCATAACAGCTGAATAGACAAGAGTTTTGTCAACAACAAATCTATAACCAACACCTTTTTCACAAAGATAGAAATCCTGGTTTTATTCCTTGTTTTGTCGTTAATGATTTGAGAATCATAACGAGACCTTTTTTAGTTCTGCGCCACATGGTACTTTACCAGTGAGATTAGCTCCACGCGGTGAGTTCTGGCGCCCGGATCACAGACTTTCTGATTGGTGAAACGGTGGAGGGCGGGACATCGAAATGAAAACAATAACAAGATTTAGAGGCTGGAAAAGTAATTTAGAAATTCAAATATCTCTGAACTACTGTTATCAGTTAAAGAAGTATTGGAAAAGAGCAGTTTATTATTATGACAGATTAGGGCCCTTTAATGACGACAGATTAGGGCCCTTTAATGATGACAGATTAGGGCCCTTTAATGATGACAGATTAGGGCCCTTTAATGATGACAGATTAGGGCCCTTTAATGAGGACAGATTAGGGCCCTTTCATGATGACAGATTAGGGCCCTTTAATGACGATAGATTAGGGCCCTTTAATGACAGATTAGGGCCATTTAATTATGACAGATTAGTGCCCTTTAATGACGACAGATTAGGGCCCTATAATGACGACAGATTAGGGCCCTTTAATGATGACAGATTAGGGCCCTTTAATGACGACAGATTAGTGCCCTTTAATGACGACAGATTAGGGCCCTATAATGACGACAGATTAGGGCTCTTTAAGGATGACAGATTAGGGCCCTTTAATGATGACAGATTAGGGCCCTTTAATGATGACAGATTAGGGCCCTTTAATGAGGACAGATTAGGGCCCTTTCATGATGACAGATTAGGGCCCTTTAATGACGATAGATTAGGGCCCTTTAATGACAGATTAGGGCCATTTAATTATGACAGATTAGTGCCCTTTAATGACGACAGATTAGGGCCCTATAATGACGACAGATTAGGGCCCTTTAATGATGACAGATTAGGGCCCTTTAATGACGACAGATTAGTGCCCTTTAATGACGACAGATTAGGGCCCTATAATGACGACAGATTAGGGCTCTTTAAGGATGACAGATTAGGGCTCTTTAATGACGACAGATTACATACTGCTGCTTTAATGAACTAAAGTCTTAAGGTGGTATGAGCCTAACTATGACCGGTGTCTGCACAGATGAGTCTAAAGACAGCTACGAGGCGCTCTCCCTGAAAGTCCTGCACCAGTGGTCGGACATTATGGGTTATTCTCTGGTTCCTGAACACATTGAGTCCAGGACGCTGTACCATAAAGGCCGGCCCGGCATGGACCAGGTACTGACCCATATATAACAGACCATACAGTGACATATGTAACTCATTCTGGTTCCTAACTTGCTATTGTGACTTTTTAAAGACAGATTTTTACACTTATGAATAGGATTGAATACGTTTTCTTCTTCCTGCTCCCTTTCAGGCTATTTTATTTTTATTTTATTTTATTTTTTTCCTTCTTTTGCATGATTGACAGGAATTAATTAACAAACAAATCTATTTTTAGGGTCAGCTGAAAATGTGGGTGGACATGTTTCCGATGGACATGCCTCATCCTGGACCGTCTGTGGACATCAGCCCCCGAAAACCCAAACCGTGAGGGATTTGTGTGTTTTATACCAAACTTTCCGGACAATAATCTATGTTTTTTAGAAAGAATTTGAAGCTGCACCTGTCCCACTTTGTAATATTAAAAAACGTCACTCAAACCCATTCAGGTCTTTGTCAGGTGTGAGTGAGTTTCATGTCTGTGCAAAGAACCAAAAAACTGTTTATTAGATGTAGTTTAGATATTATTAGTGATGACTTTTAAACTGTTTTAATCTTACTTCTGTGAACTACTCATCAATTCTGTTGTTCTACTGTCACTGGAAAAAATACAAAAGATTAAGCCACAAACTTCAAAATGCAGGAAAAAAGCTGCGGCCTATAGTCCGGAACTTACGATAGCTGCAATTCAGGATCGAATATAATCATTTTTAACACATTTTGTCTGTGCAGCTACGATCTGAGGATTATTGTTTGGAACACGGAGGATGTGGTTCTGGAGGACACCAACATAATCACTGGTCAAAGTTCCAGCGACATCTACGTGAAAGGGTAAGCATTTTATTAAACCAAATCCAAAGTTGATAATCTCTGCATCCTTCTGTGTTCACTGACTTTAGTTTTTATTAGTTGGTTAAAAGGTTTGGAGCACGATCGACAGGAAACAGACGTACACTACAACTCACTCACCGGAGAAGGGAATTTCAATTGGCGCTTTGTTTTTCCTTTCAATTATCTCCCCGCCGAGCAGGTAATGCCGGAATATATCTTTTTCCTTATTGTTTTCAACTGTCAGAATCAGTTTAACATGAAAATACAAGATACACTTACATAACTAGTGTATCACCCCACCCTCCCCCATTCACCCTCACTCATCCCCCATTCACCCTCACTCATCCCCCATTCACCCTCACTTATCCCTCATTCATCCCCCATTCACCCTCACTCATCCCCCATTCACCCTCACTTATTCCCTCACTTCATCCCCCATTCACCCTCACTTATCCCCCATTCACCCTCACTCATCCCCCATTCACCCTCACTTATCCCCCATTCACCCTCACTCATCCCCCATTCACCCTCACTCATCCCCCATTCACCCTCACTCATCCCCCATTCACCCTCACTCATCCCCCATTCACCCTCACTCATCCCCCATTCACCCTCACTCATCCCCCATTCACCCTCACTATCCCCATTCACCCTCACTCATCCCCCATTCACCCTCACTCATCCCCCATTCACCCTCACTCATCCCCCATTCACCCTCACTCATCCCCCATTCACCCTCACTCATCCCCCATTCACCCTCACTCATCCCCCATTCACCCTCACTCATCCCCCATTCACCCTCACTCATCCCCCATTCATCCCCATTCACCCTCACTCCCCCATTCACCCTCACTTATCCCCCATTCACCCTCATTCATCCCCCCATTCACCCTCACTTATCCCCCATTCACCCTCACTATCCCCATCCCCCATTCACCCTCACCTCATCATCCCCATTCACCCTCACTTATCCCCCATTCACCCTCACTTATCCCCCATTCACCCTCACTCATCCCCCATTCACCCTCACTCATCCCCATTCACCCCTCACTTATCCCCCATTCACCCTCACTCATCCTCCCATTCACCCTCACTCATTCCCCATTCACCCCCATTCACCCTCACTTATCCCCCATTCACCCTCACTCATCCCCCATTCACCCTCACTTATCCCCCATTCACCCTCACTTATCCCCCATTCACCCTCACTTATCCCCCATTCACCCTCACTCATCCCCCATTCACCCCTCACTTATCCCCCATTCACCCTCACTTATCCCCCATTCACCCTCACTTATCCCCCATTCACCCTCACTTATCCCCATTCACCCTCACTTATCCCCCATTCACCCTCACTCATCCCCCATTCACCCTCACTCATCCCCCATTCACCCTCACTCATCCCCCCATTCACCCTCACTTATCCCCCATTCACCCTCACTCATCCCCCATTCACCCTCACTTATCCCTCATTCACCCTCACTTATCCCCCATTCACCCTCACTCATCCCCCATTCACCCTCATTCACCCTCACTCATCCCCCATTCACCCTCACTTATCCCCCATTCACCCTCACTCATCCCCCATTCACCCTCACTTATCCCCCATTCACCCTCACTTATCCCCCATTCACCCTCACTTATCCCCCATTCACCCTCACTCATCCCCCATTCACCCTCACTTATCCCCCATTCACCCTCACTTATCCCCCATTCACCCTCACTTATCCCCCATTGACCCTCACGTATCCCCATTCACCCTCACTCATCCCCCATTCACCCTCACTTATCCCCCATTCACCCTCACTTATCCCCCATTCACCCTCACTCATCCCCCATTCACCCTCACTCATCCCCCATTCACCCTCACTTATCCCCATTCACCCTCACTCATCCCCCATTCACCCTCACTTATCCCCCATTCACCCTCACTTATCCCCCATTCACCCTCACTTATCCCCCATTCACCCTCACTTATCCCCCATTCACCCTCACTCATCCCCCATTCACCCTCACTTATCCCCCATTCACCCTCACTTATCCCCCATTCACCCTCACTCATCCCCCCACCTCACTCACCTCACTCATCCCCCATTCACCCTCACTTATCCCCCATTCACCCTCACTTATCCCCCATTCACCCTCACTTATCCCCCATTCACCCTCACTCATCCCCCATTCACCCTCACTCATCCCCCATTCACCCTCACTTATCCCCCATTCACCCTCACTCATCCCCCATTCACCCTCACTCATCCCCCATTCACCCTCACTTATCCCCCATTCACCCTCACTTATCCCCCATTCACCCTCACTCATCCCCCATTCACCCTCACTCATCCCCCATTCACCCTCACTTATCCCCCATTCACCCTCACTTATCCCCCATTCACCCTCACTTATCCCCCATTCACCCTCACTCATCCCCCATTCACCCTCACTCATCCCCCATTCACCCTCACTTATCCCCCATTCACCCTCACTCATCCCCCATTCACCCTCACTTATCCCCCATTCACCCTCACTTATCCCCCATTCACCCTCACTTATCCCCCATTCACCCTCACTCATCCCCCATTCACCCTCACTTATCCCCCATTCACCCTCACTTATCCCCCATTCACCCTCACTTATCCCCCATTCACCCTCACTTATCCCCATTCACCCTCACTTATCCCCCATTCACCCTCACTCATCCCCCATTCACCCTCACTCATCCCCCATTCACCCTCACTCATCCCCCATTCACCCTCACTTATCCCCCATTCACCCTCACTCATCCCCCATTCACCCTCACTTATCCCTCATTCACCCTCACTTATCCCCCATTCACCCTCACTCATCCCCCATTCACCCTCATTCACCCTCACTCATCCCCCATTCACCCTCACTTATCCCCCATTCACCCTCACTCATCCCCCATTCACCCTCACTTATCCCCCATTCACCCTCACTTATCCCCCATTCACCCTCACTTATCCCCCATTCACCCTCACTCATCCCCCATTCACCCTCACTTATCCCCCATTCACCCTCACTTATCCCCCATTCACCCTCACTTATCCCCCATTGACCCTCACGTATCCCCATTCACCTCCTCACTCATCCCCCATTCACCCCATCACCCTCATATCCCCCATTCACCCTCACTTATCCCCCATTCACCTCACTCATCCCCATTCACCCTCACTCATCCCCCATTCACCCTCACTTATCCCCCATTCACCCTCACTCATCCCCCATTCACCCTCACTTATCCCCCATTCACCCTCACTTATCCCCCATTCACCCTCACTTATCCCCCATTCACCCTCACTTATCCCCCATTCACCCTCATATCCCCATCCCCTCACTATCCCCATTCACCCTCACTATCCCCACCTTATCCCCCATTCACCCTCACTCATCCCCCATTCACCCTCACTTATCCCCCATTCACCCTCACTCATCCCCCATTCACCCTCACTCATCCCCCATTCACCCTCACTTATCCCCCATTCACCCTCACTTATCCCCCATTCACCCTCACTCATCCCCCATTCACCCTCACTCATCCCCCATTCACCCTCACTTATCCCCCCATTCACCCTCACTTATCCCCCATTCACCCTCACTTATCCCCCATTCACCCTCACTCATCCCCCATTCACCCTCACTATCCCCATTCACCCTCACTTATCCCCCATTCACCCTCACTTATCCCCCATTCACCCTCACTTATCCCCCATTCACCCTCACTTATCCCCCATTCACCCTCACTTATCCCCCATTCACCCTCACTCATCCCCCATTCACCCTCACTTATCCCCATTCACCCTCACTCATCCCCCATTCACCCTCACCTATTCCCCATTCACCCTCACTTATCCCCCATTCACCCTCACTTATCCCCCATTCACCCTCACTTATCCCCCATTCACACTCAGGCATTTTTCCCGCAGACTTATTAATTACTATTATTATTATGATTACATTTATTTACATAGAATATTTTTTTTTAAAGATGGACAATGTCTGCACTTCACAAATTGTAACGTGATTTTGATGGTAAAATAAATTCCTAAACCAGGTGGAGTCCAGGCGGTTTCCACACACCTTAATTTACGTACAATAAACGTAACATCAGTAACATTTCAAAATAATATTTTCAGAACCTCCCATCGGTTTTTATGTTTTTTGGCTTCAGTATCGATCATATAACTCGCTGAATAAACTTTTTTAATTCGCCCATGAGTGAGACTCTTAGCATTTTAATGTTACGCAGTATGTTATTGCATTGACTTCACTCTTTTGTCCGATCAGATGATGGTTACGCAGCAGAAAGAGCATATCTTCTCTTTGGATAAATCAGAAAAGAAATTCCCCGCCATTCTCGTTCTTCAAGTGTGGGATTTTGACACTCTTTCATCGGATGATTTCATTGGTCAGTCCGTAGCTTTGATGGCTTCTGTTTGTGCTGGTTTTATTGCTGTAGTTTCTCTGCTCTCTTCTTAGGGACCGTGGAGTTGGATCTTCACAGTTTCCCGCGTGGAGCAAAGTCGTCCAAAACGTGCAAAGGCGACATGTTGACGGCTGAGATCGAACGGATTTCAATCTTTCAGCAGAAGAGAGCGAGAGGATGGTGGCCGTTCACCAAGTGCGGAGAACTCACGGTATGTTTCTGTTTTATACAAACGTCAGAGAGAAAGTGACGGCCTCGGATCAGCGCTCAGAGCTTAGATATGCGTGTGTGTAATTATAGTATTTAAACTTTAAAAGGGGAAAAAAGTCAAACTCAGACAGATTAAAGAGACAGTGTGGATACAATCAAAAGGAAAGATCGACAAATGCATTTTTTAGCGACATTTTAAAGCCAGCTCAGCCTCTGATTGGATCATTCTGTGACTCAGAGAAAATAAAATGTCCTGAAAAAGATTAACATTAACATAACATCAGGAAATCACTGACTTTGAAAAGGAATCATTAAAAAATTCAAATCTAAACAAATGTTAATGACCCTGAAAAATGTGTAACAGACGTGATGGTTTCTGTCAATTTTTCTCTAAAATTTAAATTTCTGAAAAAAAAGGTCTGATTTCACATTTAATTGCTTTAATATAAAAGCATGTTTCTTCTCTGTGAAAAAAAATTATAATTTCTGAATCAAATGTGGATCTGAAAATATGTAACGAAGTTCATTCAAAGGATCAGGTCGTTACAGAACACTTTGGGAAACTGGACTCATTTATAAAACTGTGTCTTTTAGCAACTTCTTAAGGACAGAGGAGGGATTTGAACCCATGAAAAACATCATATATCTGATTTTTAAACAAGAATCTTTGGTCTTTTGTCAGACTTTTGTACCTTTTAGTGTGAACAAAAGTTGCAGGGACACTTTTTTAACCTTTTAAGACCTCATTTTGACGGTTGGTCCAGAGATGTTTTCCTCCAGTGCCTTTAAGAACAGGTCACTGCCTCTGGACCAGTTGTTCCAGCGCAGGAGTCAAAAGCTGAATTAAATGTATATCACACAGTTTTTACTAAATGACTTTGACCCGATGTTAGTTCAATTCCTATGTATGCGGAAATGTGGTGAGACTTTTCCTGAATCCGTAGGTACTGAATGTCCGCTGACTGGAGATTTTCTGTTCTGTAGCAATTGTGGCCATCTTGCTTTTATAATAAACAAGATTATAAAAAGTCCATGGTATATTTGTAATCCTAATAATACACAGAACTCTCAAGACATCTTTAATTGGTCATAAACTTCACTAATTTGTGTTTTAACATTGCTCCAAAGGGAAAGGTGGAAGCTGAATTTCATCTGTTGACGTCAGAGGAGGCGGAAAAGAACCCAGTGGGTAAAGCTCGCAAAGAACCAGAACCTCTGCCCAAACCCAAGTGAGACCCACATTTAAAAACAAACCGCGTGTGTTTTATGAATAATATTTTTTTAACCATTTCCTGATTTCTCCAGTCGCCCGGATACGTCTTTCTCATGGTTTGTGAATCCGTTCAAGAGCTTCTTCTACCTGGTGTGGAGTCGATACAAGAAGTACATAATTGTGGGACTGCTGGTTCTGATCACGGCCCTGTTCCTGGCTCTTCTGTTCTACACGCTCCCAGGAGCCATTTCCCAAAGGATTGTTATGGGATAAGTCAAACAGATGAAGGTCATGTTTGTGTTTTCATATAACACAGTCTCTGAAAATAATGATTGGGAAAGTTCTAAATACATGATTTTGTTGCATTTTCCAAAAAAGACCAACTGTGTGTTTGATTTTTTTGTTAATTTTGCATGATTTTTTTTTGTCATAAGCAAAACACGAACAAACCCACAGATCCACGACAATAATTAAGGTTGAAAACTAAAATATATAAACACATTCAACTAAAAAAGTCTGTAAGAGGTTGTATCCGTGCAGCGGATGATTCCATTGGGTAGGGGTCCAGTATTGCGGTCCAGTCTTGCGGTCCAGTCCAGCCTCATGGTCCAGCCTCATGGTCCAGTCTCACGGTTCAGTCTCACGGTCTAGTCTCACGTTCCAAGCATTGTGGTCCAGTCTCACGGTCCAGGATTGTGGTCCAGTCTCACGATCCAGTCTCAGGGTCCAGTCCAGTCTCATGATCCAGTCTCATGGTCCAGTCTCACAGTCCAGCATTGTGGTCCAGTCTCACAGTCCAAGCATTGTGGTCCAGTCTCCAGTCCAGTCTCACGGCCCAGCATTGTGGTCCAGTCTCACGGTCTAGTCTCACAGTCCAAGCATTGTGGTCCAGTGTCATGATCCAGTCTCACGGTCCAGTCTCATGGTCCGGTCTCATGGTCTAGTCCAGTCTCATGATCCAGTCTTACGGTCCAGTCTCACGGTCCAGCCAAAGAACCTTGAGTCTTCTGGCAAGAGAAGCCATTGAGGATCAGAACCAGAGTTGTGCAAAGGCGTCTGTCACCTAACCTAAAGTGTAACCTCCAGGGCGTTCCCAGATCATGTAAAAACGGGTCAGAGTTTGTACGAATGAACTAAAAATACACATGGTCTCAATTAACAGAAATTCACACCAGTAAATAATACCCCAGACATGTAAGACAGACCTTTCTTGTTAGCATGTACAGATTAGTTTTAAAAGTTCTACAAAAAATGTCAATGTTGTGCTTTTTCTTGTTGGCTCCACATGATCATCCTTGAAAGTTCTGGTATAATTGTGCAATCCGTGTGAATCCGCACGTTCAAAGTCAAGATTAGTGAAATGGCCTAAATGCTTGTTTCTAGGGCTGAAACAACTAATCGATTAATCGACGACTAATCGATTATTGAAATAGTCGACAACTATTTTAGTAATCGATTAATCGTTTTCTGGTTCACACGGACTCAGAGGAAAAATGACATGAAAATGTAGTATTTTTGATTAAAACCGACTTTGTTTTTATAATTTCATGAATATCTGTGTCTCATCCAATCAGAGCAGAATTAGCACAAAGAGCCTGTTACAAACATTTACTTTAAGTTTACGCCTCAATACGTCCTCGAGTATTGCCACTTTAGCTTTTTGTGATGAAAAAATATTTTTTTTCTACACAATTCACAGCCAAGCGATTACTCGATTAATCGTAAAAATAATCGATAGATTAATCGATTGCAAAATAATCGTTAGTTGCAGCTCTACTTGTTTCTCTCTGTGGAGGTTACTCTTGTCCTGACCCGGCCCGAGCTTCATCACCTGATGGGTCCATGGCGCTGCACTGCGGCGGCTAAACCCTTAAACCCACCTTTGCTCATTGTTTTATTACTTGATCAAAATTAGTATCAAAAAGTATTTCCCAGTTTTAAGATAGATCTTTAAAGGTCCCACAGTGTGTCACAGTCCATCCTAATCATAGGTGCAATAATAAAAACTCAAAACTTAGTGAAATTGTAGCCATTTCCTTTCCCTGTGTATTTTTTTCTTTCTCCTCTGTCAATCACTGTAGAGGAGAGTCGAAAAGCTTGATATGGGACCTTTAAAACCAACATCACTCGATCATTTCCGGATGATGAAGAGGAGGATTCTGCTGCGTCACGTGGATCTGCGGATACGAGGCCGAAGACGAAGTAACCGTTTGAGAAGTGCCCGAGCTGCAACCAGCACCATCTCCGGAACCGATCCCAAGACCACCCGCCTGAAGTCCCGCCTGAGGTCCCGCCTGAGGTCCCGCCTGAGGTCCCGCCTGAGCCCCCGCCTGAGCCCCCGCCTGAGCCCCCGCCTGAGCTTTGGGGAACAGCAGAGAGTTGGAGGAGATTCCCATGAAGGAGGCCGGGGTGTGTCCTGGACCAGAGTTACTGCACATGTAAGTATTCTGGAAGTGAACCGCTGCGTTCTGCTGCGACCCAGACACGGAGCCTGCGAAGTCATGGAAACATTACTAATACTTTATCTATGAATACACACTACACACATGCCACTAATCCATGTTAGAACACAAATACTACCGCTCAATGAAACGAACTCATGAAGATTTGGTATTTTATGGTTTGGTTTGGGGTTGCCAGATATGCAGACGAGTTCTGGCGCCCAGATCACTGACTTTCTGATTGAAATTCAAATATCTCTGAATTACTGTAATCAGTTAAGTATTGGAAAAGAGCAGTTTATTATTATGACAGATTAGGGCCCTTTAAAGACGACAGATTAGGGCCCTTTAAAGATGACAGATTAGGGCCCTTTAAAGATGACAGATTAGGGCCCTTTAAAGATGACAGATTAGGGCCCTTTAAAGAACACAGATTAGGGCCCTTTAATGACGACAGATTAGGGCCCTTTAATAACGACAGATTAGGGCCCTTTAAAGATGACAGATTAGGGCCCTTTAATTATGACAGATTAGGGCCCTTTAATTATGACAGATTAGGGCCCTTTAATGATGACAGACTAGGGCCCTTTAATGATGACAGATTAGGGCCCTTTAATAATGACAGATTAGGGCCCTTTAAAGATGACATATTAGGGCCCTTTAATGATGACAGATTAGGGCCCTTTAAAGATGACAGATTAGGGCCCTTTAATGACAGATTAGGGCCCTTTAAAGATGACAGATTAGGGCCCTTTAATGATGACAGATTAGGGCCCTTTAAAGATGACAGATTAGGGCCCTTTAAAGATGACAGATTAGGGCCCTTTAAAGATGACAGATTAGGGCCCTTTAACTCATTCACTGCCATTGACGTCTATAGACGTCAATCTAAATCGCTTTTTTTTTGTTTTTTTCTTTCTATGGCTCGTCAAGGCTCTTGTGCATCCTGTGTCAACATTTCAGACCTGTAAACACTTTGGAACCGATCCTGTAGGGGGCAGAGGTGACACTGTGGCCAGATCCAGGGAGGGAGAAGGGGGCATGTGGTGCTGTGAGCAGCAAACAGCCAGAGGAGCAGCCATGATTACACAAAGGACCGCGGATCTGAGAAGCTCACGCAGCTAACGCTGTTTGAGAGCCTGTTCAGTCATCAAACGGATAAATATGAAGCAGCTGGATGCCCCGATGCCAGTTCTTCAGGGTTTAGTTAACATGAGACTCCAGGATCCTCGGAGCCTTCCCCCTCCCTCCTCGTCCAGCAGCAGCAGCAGCGGCAGCAGCAGGAGGCGTGTGAATCTGGCATGCAGCATTAGCTGCCAGGGAGCTATGGATGATGTTACCGTGTGGTTTATAGAAGGGACAGGGGGAGGTGATCCATGGCAGACCGGTGAGCGGGACCCATGATGAGCAACAAGTGTTAGATTTACCGCACCATGTGCATTCTGCTGCGGTGCGTCTCACTGTGGAGGGTGCGTCAGGAGCGCGCCCGCTGCTGCTTTGGAACAGGGAGAGAGACTCTGTTGCTCTGATCCCAGAGTCTGCGTGATTTTGCGTTCAAACATTGAGAGATTCTGGAGGGAGTGATAGCAATCACTGGCTTATACTATAGTAAAAATAAACATAAAGTAGTGTTTTTAGCGAGTATTGAAGAGTTTTTTTTATCTCAATGTCATAGCTGCTGAAGCCAAAACACTTGTTATAATGTGAAAATGTATGGTGATTTTATATTTTTCTTTGTGTCGTAGATTGTTGACCCCAGGACCCCAAAATGCTGCAGCAGAGCTTGGTTTGGATCAGCAGCTGACTTCTGCAGCTCTTCATAACTGATGAACTTCTGGACCTGGATCTTGTGTTGAACAGACAAAGCTGTATGCAGCACAATATTTCAGTGCACACACACAGCGTCTCCCATTCAGCAGAGAAAATGCATGAAGCCAGTGACAGTCTGCAGCTAAAAACCTTTTTTGGTTTGACATTTCTCACTGGGTTTGTAAAAAAAAAACTAATCTAGAAATGTATTGGGAGTGCAGATGAAGTAGCTTCCACCCCACACTTCAGCAGAGTGTGGGGTCACCCAATTACTATTCTTTATAAACTAAAGTAAAATTGTTTCACAAAGTGTTCAGAAAGTGTTATTTTTACTGTATATTTGTGTACAAAGTGTTTTTATTGTATACAAGTTGAATATTGTATGTGTACATAAGACAATCCTTTGAGTGTATTGTATGTACACGTTTAATTTATTTAAAAATAATTATACATTAAAAATACAATTCAATGTATTGTTTCTGTTTTGTGTCATAGTAAGAAACTGTCATAAATTGAAAATATCAGTAAAGACCAAAAAAACCCACTTTTCTGCTTGAAAATGCGCGTTTCACAAAAAGGCTGTTTTCTCCAAATCTTGGTCAGGAAACAGCATTTTGTGTGAAAGTTACCTATGTTGCACTCTCAATTGCTAAAAAACTAAAAGGGTTAGAAACTTACTTATGAAAGCCAAGGGATAGAGCTTTCATTTGATATGTTTCATACTTGTTTCAACCAAGGGCTCACATTTCTATGCGGTTCGGAAAAACACTAAAAATGTCCAAAATCTCTGGCAGTATGAGGGATGCTGCTTTTTAAATGGCTGGCAGTGAATGAGTTAATGATGACAGATTAGGGCCCTTTAATGATGACAGATTAGGGCCCTTTAATGATTACAGATTAGGGCCCTTTAAAGATTACAGATTAGGGCCCTTTAATGACGACAGATTAGGGCCCTTTAAAGATGACAGATTAGGGCCCTTTAATGATGACAGGACATGAAAATCTTACGTACTGCTCCTTTAAGCTTAACGCCGCTAAACTCAAGGAGGAGAATCAGGAGAAAAAAGGAAGTAGATTTTTGAATTTGGACGCAGTCTTACCAAAGTTGGCTCCTAGCAGCTGGTTTTGGGTTCCTCCAGGCATCAGTGCTTGAGACACAGCAGCAGCTCCGGCTCGGGCCTGGAGGAGGTAAAACACACTCCTTAGGTTACTCCAAAAGCCAAACAGACACAGCATCAATAATGCACAGAGGAAGTTGTACGAGTTTCAAACGAGTGAGATGCAGGTGAGCTCTGTGTCTTTGTGAATAATTAAAACGTTAATTGCGCAGTATCCACTACATTGTTAAGTGATGTATAAACCATGAAATCTGTTCCAGGCGTGTTTCAGTGTCGCTTACATGTCCGACACTGACACTGCCGGAGGATTAAATAACAATTAGACAGCATTAACTTAAGCGTCAGAAACAAAATCCGGCTTCGACGTGTAAATAACAAGAGATGAACTGAAACTGCAGGACTAACTAATGACGATGGGAATTAGTCTAAATATTAAGCAGACGAAAGCAGAACTAATCTTGGATCTAGCCCATTGTCATTTTTAACTGTATCTTATGAGGACGGCTTTATACGTCTTTTATCACCGTTCTGTGTTTTTATGTGGGCCAATGACGATAAATTCTATTCTATTTTTTTTCTCTTTGGATCTGACCTTTGCTTCCTGGAGTTTCTTCTTCGCTCTCCATTTGGCCACTCTTAGTCTGGTCTTTTCACGACGCTCACGCAACTGCCAAAAGAAATACATAGATTTTATAAAAAGCATGTGTCTGCCGTCGGGTATTTGCCAAAACTGAATTGATCGAGTACAGTAGGAGTGAACTATTGTAAGCCATAGTAATTGTAACTTTGACATTAAGATTTTTGTACATTATCAAAAAACTGACTCTTTTTTACTTTCGCCGTTTTGCCTTCCCTGTGCTTCCCTTGGCCCCTCCCCTTGGCTCCTCCCCTCGGCCCATTAGAGGTGCCGCTTAGCTAGCAGCAGAGATGTAAACATGCTTGGAGTCGAAAGAAACAAAGTAGTCTAAGTGTGTATCAACTTCATACGCAGCTAAAAACTAAACTTAAAGTTACTTAACGTAACCCCGGTTCTTTGATCGGAGTCGAGGCATTACGTGATACAAAAACTCCCGCGACTGTGACCTACAGAGAGCGGCTGAATTGGACCTTACTATTAATGTAATTTTATTATCTTAAATGTTGCAGAAGCACTTTGTTCCTATTTGAGTTGTTTTATTTTTTAATTTAAAAAAGCAACATTTGTCATTTCTTAATTTATTTCACAATTAAATCATATTTTTCGCTAACAGGAAATTAAAAGATTAAGAGATCCTTTATTCATCCCACAGCGGGGAAATTTAAATTTAATCTTTGAGGTTCAATAAATAAGAAAATTGACATGTTTGTATTTGCATTAGGTTTTAGAGGGTTATTAATCGTGTAAAAAGATCATTATCTGTTGTTTATTTTGTTTTTCTTGTCTGTGTCTGTGTTGATCTGGACCTTGAGTCTATTATATTGAGATAATTAAATATATTGAGATAATCTTTTCCTCCAAACGGCCCAGTGTCCAGGATTGAGTTACCATTTCTGAAAGTTGCGGCTGAGGCGTGTTCTCCAACTCTCTGCATTTGATCCAAGAGCGTCTTTGCTGCTCCTTTATGCGTTTTTTATAATCCTCGGGTAAACCGAACGATCTCCTGTACCAGGGATACTGCGAGAAGGAGCTGAAGGACGAGGACAACACCGACGACGGCATAGAAGCACAGAGTCCAGACAGAGCTGAAACAGAAAGGTTCACTGTGTCATCCATCCAACTTCAGCTCAGCCAGAACAGACCTGGTTCTAAAGCCCAGTACGTTGTTGACTGTATTTGCACAAACTGTTCTCACATGGTTTTTGATGGTATCACAAACTTCTGTTAATGGTTCTACTGTAGCTGGGGAGATGGTAAACATGTGTCATTCAGCCAACTTCAGCTCTGTTATAAATCATTTTAAATCTCAGAACAGCCCGATGTCAGTCAAGACAGTTTTTCAGTCCGTGATGTCGGCCCCTGGACTCTTACTAAAAGGTTTGGACCACATGTAAATTTCAGGCAATTTCACAGGTCAATCCCCGCTTTATTTTGCCCCGCACGAAGAATGTATTTGTCTCAACAGAAAGTCTTGGGGGCGAGGAATAGCCGTGTTAATCTTTTTCAAAAACATACTGATTTACACCGCCCAACGAAGCCCTCCCCCCGCACAGTCACAACCTCCACGAGCTCCGTCTGTCCCCGTCCTGCTGCGGGGGGTGGATCAGCGGCGCTCATTAGCATATCTGACACCACGACGGAGGAGGGTTCTGCTCCAGGACTCTCAGTAGTTACATGACATGGACAAGAACACAGAAGTATCAAACTCACAGAAAACTGCTCCAGACGAAGTTCCAGCGGCGTTTATCCCACTTGTCTGCGTCCCGGACCAATCCGAGCCATTTCTTGAAATCTAAGAATGTGATGATAATAATAATCAGGACATAAACAGGAACATAGCAGCGTTTAGGATGAAGGTTTGGGTCCAATCCTTTGCTCGTACCTTTGTCTCCGGCGGCTCAAACAGGACTTCATGGGTCTCCTCAGGTTCCTCTTTGATGTAGATCACTTCATCGTCCGGCTGCGGCTCCTGCTTCACCTGAACCACAACATAAACTTTATTATGAGTGCGTTCACAGGGAAGTGTCAAAGCATCTGGACTTTAAGGTTATCACTCAAAAACTAAGATGACTGTCATAGATTAGAAAACCATACTTGAAACTCAGACGGATCAAAGAGACAGTGTGGATACAATCTAAAGGAAAGATCGACAAATACATTTTTGGCGACATTTTAAAAACCAGCTCAGCCTCTGATTGGATCATTCTGTGACTCGGAGACAATAAAATGTCCTGAACTCACATAGATTAACACCAACGACACCAGGAAATCACTGCATTTAGAAAAAATTGTTGTTTTTTTAAGTCAATAAAAATGTGTAACGGATGTGATGATGATTTTCGCCATGTTTTCTTAAAAATTAAACTGCGCTCGGACTATCTACGCTCGGACTATCGACGCTCGGACTATCGACGCTCGGACTATCTGCGCGTAATCTTTCAGTTATATATTTTGTTAACAGTGCGTTGCTTTTGTACCATTTCATCAGTGATTGTTGTACAGCTTAAGTTGTGCTAATGCTAATGTTAGCATATGTATCAGAACACAAATAAAACAAGATGTCTTTGTGGGAGGAGAGCGTAGGGGAAATGAGAAGCCTGTGAGCGAGTTGGGGGCGGGGCTAAACATTCAAAACGGGTATAGCTCCTTTAAATCAAAGCCAAGCCCAGAGTGACATGTGACATCACCTGTGAAGGGGAGCAGAGCAGAGTGGAGCTGTCTGCATGAGCCGACACTTCTGAGGAGCTAGAGCCGCTGCTCGACTGCTGCTCCGACTTCAGAAACTGGATTCCAGAAACTTCTGCGTTTTGCTGCAGAGCGACGGTCCACTCCAGCTTCTGATCTTCAGAGTCATGACCAGAGGACGGTTGGTTCAATACTGGAAATAAAAATAACATTTTCTCTTACACACTTGTCGTTTCTCTTCCTGGATGATCAAGTGGTTTACGTTCTGCTGTATTCAAGTGTTGGTCTGAGATGATCATAATCCACTTCTGTTGTAAATTATATAAAAATGGGGAGTCTAAGAATGTTTTAAGTTTGAATAATACATTTTAATTTGAATACATCTTCTCATTTGAAAACATTTTCATCTTTAGCACACTAGCAAGAAAGATGAAGTTTCATTGTTCTGTCTGAAAAATTTGATCTAAAAATAATGCATATTTTTATATAAAGAATTTTTTGGAAACTCAAAGTTGTCGTGCACGAAGCAGGAAAAGGCCTGGTTCAGGATCTGGCTTTCACAGCTCGCCCCAAAGGACGTGACGGATCCAAAAACACGGTCTCTGTCATTTATCGTTTTAACCAAACTTTTCAGATGAACTCAACATTAACGCCGGGAACAATGGGAACGCTGGGAACGCCGGGAACGCTGGGAACACCTGGAACGCTGCGAACGCTGGGAACAATGGGAACAATGGGAACACTGGGAACGCCGGGAACGCTGGGAACACCTGGAACGCTGCGAACGCTGGGAACAATGGGAACAATGGGAACACCTGGAACGCTGGGAACAATGGGAACAACTGGAACGCTGCGAACGCCGGGAACGCCGGGAACACTGGGAACAATGGGAACGCCTGGAACGCTGCGAACGCCGGGAACACTGGGAACAATGGGAACGCCTGGAACGCTGCGAACGCCGGGAACGCTGGGAACAATGGGAACGCCTGGAACGCTGCGAACGCCGGGAACGCTGGGAACAATGGGAACGCCTGGAACGCTGCGAACGCCGGGAACACTGGGAACAATGGGAACGCCTGGAACGCTGCGAACGCCGGGAACGCTGGGAACAATGGGAACGCCTGGAACGCTGCGAACGCCGGGAACGCACTCCTGCCTTTCTTCATGTAGAGCCGGGAGCCTGTGAGCCACTTTGACGACAGTGAACGCACATGATATTTGTTATTTGTGCACAAAAGTAAAATGTTGTGAACAAATCAAACAGAATCTTGTTTTTTTTTATTTTGCATATTTAAGAGCCCTGGGAGTCGTTATTTTTTTTAACTCATTGTATTGAGGGATTTGGGAAAGAACAATATAAATGGTACTTAATGTCAGGACCTGGCTTTACAAACAGCTTTAACTACGATTGGTTTTGAAGATTCTCATTTATGTAAAAATGTCCACACAATTGTTCATTTTATTTGCTCTTGATAAAGTTAAGTCCTCTTGTACCTGCGCTGTTGTCCAGAGACTCTGTGGACATCAGGGTCTGGATGTTGTCCGTGGCGTTCGAGGAGGCGCTCACGTCTGTTTGGCAGTGCACTTTCCCACCGTGGCGCCCGCTGGTCTGAGGAGATGTACTTGTGGTTCCGGTTTTGGTCTGCCCAGAGCAAGACGGTGCTGACTGTGAAACCCCAGGAGGTCTCTGTGCTGTGACCTAGAGATGAGCAGGATAGAGAAAATACATACAGAGGAAACTTGGACAATTAGAATATGGTTCTATGACATTTATTTCTGTAATTTAACTTGAATAAAATAATAAGATAATTAACTCTGGAGCTATGATCACACTTGGGTCAAAGTCTAGTACACTTGTTTTACCAGTCAGGAAGTTTCAAAATGTATAGCAGCAGGTAAAGTGAATTATATATTATTACTATTAGACAAACATGATTTAGGATTTAAAAAAGAAGCAGCTGTGGAAAATTACCATCAAATATTTATAGATTTTCTTAAAATAATTGACTAGTTTTGTGTACAACCTTTGGAGGCTCCTTGTAGTGCCTCTGAGGTCCACAAGGGGGCCACAGACTCCATTTTGGGAAGCAATGATTGTATAATCCACACATAAACTGCATTTTTGTTGGTGGTTTGGTGTTTAATGCTAATCACAATCTGTATATTTGGAAGCATGTTTGAGCACAATTATGAAGACACAAAGTAGAGCCCTGACAACTAAAATCAATAACAGAAATATTTATAAGAAAATGCATGAAAAAGAACTGATTTCACCAAGTAATTTACAGTCTGGGATCGTTGTTTGATTGACAATTTAACCGTAACCCCATTTATAATCTAATCTAATCTAAAAAATATTGATCTGGGGCAAACTTTGACATTGACCCTGGATTTCTGATGTGAAAATGGTGACTTCAGAAGAATCTAGATTAGTCACAAATCTTTAAAATACTACCAGAACTAAACTGATATTACAACACCTTAAACAAAGACTTATTACTCTTATCATTTACCAAAGTTTTGATGGGCCATGTAATATAATGTGGGCCACCCTGACCTGGACTGTTGGCGGCGTGCACACGTGTGACAGAGCGGCTGCAGACACGTGCTGCTGCAGCTCCTCCTCCACGCCCTGCCTGTAATACTTCAGCTTGAGTTCGGTGTAGCGCAGCTTGGCTCTCATGTTGTCGTTCTCTTTGTCCTTCAGAGCCTTTTCCCGCTGCAAAGTTTCCATGTCTCTTTTCATCAGCGCTACTTGGGATTTCAACTCCTCAAACTTCACTCCAACAACTTTGAGCATCTCGGCCAGAACCGTCTCCACTGCTCCATTCACCGCCCGCTCCACCACGGTGCCCATCTGCCCCCGGATCAGCGACACAGCAATGCTCACATCCATCGTGTGTCGCCTGAAACAAAGAAGAATGCAGATGGATAAGTAAGTAAGTAAGTAATGTTTATTTATATAGCGCATGTTACAGACCAAGGTACGGACCCAAAGCACTTTACAATGTTCAGAGTCAGATATTGTTCCAATCCTTCCACACACGGCGAGTCCAGAACACACTGGACCATCAGCTCCAACACCATCCATTCACTCTCTCATTTACATTCAGACCTATTGTGCATGTTTTTAGTGGTAGGGGAAACCGGAGCACCCGGAGGAAACCTACGCAGACACAGGGAGAACATCAGAAAGGCCCTGTTCCGAGAGAGCGCTATCCACTCCACCCAAAGACAAAAGACAAAACCTACTGATCTATGGTTTCATTATTTTAAATGTATAAAGTCTACTCTTCAAGAAAAATATCACATTTCCAAAAATATGTTTCATTCTTTAGTTTAAGTTTGTGGTTTTCTAGAAGTTTATCTTAGCTTTGAGTGCATCCAATCTTATTTTGAGTGATTACTTTTCCTACTATTTAGATGGCATACTGTGTGTTTAACTTACAAAGCTGTATAACTAACTAAGCAATTTACAGACAATGGAACGAATAATGATCACTGCAGCTTCGGTTAATCTGGTATACTATCTGGTATCTGGTATACTATCTGGCATCTGGTATACTATCTGGTATCTGGTATACTATCTGGTATCTGGTATACTATCTGGTATCTGGTATACTATCTGGTATCTGGTATACTATCTGGTATCTGGTATACTATCTGGTATCTGGTATACTATCTGGTATCTGGTATCTGGTATACTATCTGGCATCTGGTATACTATCTGGTATCTGGTATACTATCTGGTATCTGGTATACTATCTGGTATCTGGTATACTATCTGGTATCTGGTATACTATCTGGCATCTGGTATACTATCTGGTATCTGGTATACTATCTGGTATCTGGTATACTATCTGGTATCTGGTATACTATCTGGTATCTGGTATACTATCTGGTATCTGGTATACTATCTGGTATCTGGTATACTATCTGGTATCTGGTATACTATCTGGTATCTGGTATACTATCTGGTATCTGGTATACTATCTGGTATCTGGTATACTATCTGGCATCTGGTATACTATCTGGTATCTGGTATACTATCTGGTATCTGGTATACTATCTGGTATCTGGTATACTATCTGGCATCTGGTATACTATCTGGTATACTATCTGGCATCTGGTATACTATCTGGTATCTGGTATACTATCTGGTATCTGGTATACTATCTGGTATATGGTATACTATCTGGTATCTGGTATACTATCTGGCATCTGGTATACTATCTGGTATCTGGTATACTATCTGGTATCTGGTATACTATCTGGCATCTGGTATACTATCTGGTATCTGGTATACTATCTGGTATCTGGTATACTATCTGGTATCTGGTATACTATCTGGTATCTGGTATACTATCTGGTATATGGTATACTATCTGGTATATGGTATACTATCTGGTATCTGGCATACTATCTGGTATATGGCATACTATCTGGTATCTGGTATACTATCTGGTATCTGGTATACTATCTGGTATCTGGTATACTATCTGGTATCTGGTATACTATCTGGTATATGGTATACTATCTGGTATACTGGTATACTATCTGGTATCTGGTATACTATCTGGTATCTGGTATCTGGTATATACTATCTGGTATCTGGTATACTATCTGGTATACTTGGTATATACTATCTGGTATATGGTATACTATCTGGTATCTGGTATACTATCTGGTATCTGGTATACTATCTGGTATCTGGTATACTATCTGGTATCTGGTATACTATCTGGTATCTGGTATACTATCTGGTATCTGGTATACTATCTGGTATCTGGTATACTATCTGGTATATGGTATACTATCTGGTATCTGGTATACTATCTGGTATATGGTATACTATCTGGTATCTGGTATACTATCTGGTATCTGGTATACTATCTGGTATATGGTATACTATCTGGTATATGGTATACTATCTGGTATATGGTATACTATCTGGTATCTGGTATACTATCTGGTATCTGGTATACTATCTGGTATATGGTATACTATCTGGTATATGGTATACTATCTGGTATATGGTATACTATCTGGTATATGGTATACTATCTGGTATCTGGTATACTATCTGGTATATGGTATACTACACCAGTATGCAGTAGATCCATAATCACAAACTAATGTGTAGTATCTGGTTTGCTGCTTCATCAGCACAGTCATTTGTTGTCTTTAATTGACTCTAATTTATTCATTTTAAGCAGTATTGTAGCAGTTGTTCTGCTTTTACACACCAGAGCTTGAGCAAGATAAAATGACCTAACGTTATGTTTTACACTATTGACCAAAAGTAACTGGTATTTAGTCCAAAAGTGAACTGTTAACAATTTCAAGTTATTATACATGTTATGGAACAACTGTCTGACATTATCCACTAGAAGTCATGATAATAAATGAGGCATGCTATGTTAGCTAACAGCTAACAGCTAACGGTGAACCTAGCGTTAGCAACAACACAAACACAGACCGTACCGTGAGGTCCGCAGGTGCGTCACTAATTCATCATTAAGTCAGTAATAAGTTAGAACGGTAAAACAACAGGTTTCGACGTTATTTCACCCCGATGTTTGACGTCTTGTTTGTCTTTTTCTGACAATAAAAACAAATACACAGCGGCGACAGTGTTTCCGGGTCAAAGATCAAAGATCGTCTATGGAAGAACAGAGAGCTCCCGTGAATGTGTTGAAAGCGCCTCAGCTTCGGCTTCAAACAATTTCAAACAACTTCAAACAACTTCAATACCACATTCATAAGTACATATGTTAACAGAAAATATTTAATTAATTTAATTTGATCTTTTTCGTTTTTATAAATATTAAATGCCACATCTAAATTCAGAAAAAATAACGTCCTTCCTTATCTGTCCTAATCCTTTTGTGTCCTTTAAAAAGAATTTAAACCAGGTATGGTCAAGTACAATTCAACATTTTAAGATTGTTAGATCTCACTTAGGTAGAAATGTATTCTGCAATTAGAAGGAAAAACCAGGCGAGATAAGGACTTTTTTTGTTCGAATTTGGATGCAGCCTTAATCTTATGCATAACTGGAAACGGAAATCCATGTAAAACTCGCAAAACATGTTTAATATACTTTTTTGGATATAACATCTTTATATGGTTATAATATAATAAGTAAAGTCAATCAAGTAAGTAAGTAAGCTTTATTTATATACCGCCTTTCACAGACCAGAGTCACAAAGCGGTTTACAGTTGTTATTTTTTGGGCACTTGTCTCTCACTCCTCACAGAGATGGGAGCGGGGTAAAATCAAAGCTTTTGACAGGGTACACAAAGGCAGCCGTCTCATGTGCGGTGTTCTCCCAGCAGCTGTAGCAAAGTGAAATATGAATAAGTCCAAGGCCTTGAGATTCCCTGGCTCATCTCCAAGCCTTCCGACTCCACCTTTAGGCCCCTTTTAAATGAGAATCTCTGGTGCAACAGGACCATCTCTCTGTAGAAAACACAAGAAGAAACATCTGTCTGCTGTTTTTATATATGCATAGTTGTATATTTTTTGACCATAGAGATATACCTTTCCAACAGCTCTTCCTCCACTTTGGCCTTCTCTGCAGCTGATAAAGCAGCCTCCTCTTCTCTCCTCCGCTGCTCAGCCTCATCCTTTTCCCGTTTTTCATTTTCCTGCTGTTTTTTAAGCTGGTACTCTGCCCTTTCGCTGACTGTCATTTTTTGTAGCATTAAATTCTCTTCTTGAAGCCTCTCCTCCTCCAGCTGTTTCAAACGCTCTGTGTCCGCTGTAAAACATGGAGACATTATAATCATCAGGCACAAAAACCCTCTTGAAACTGATCAGGATTACAGGTAATGGAGAGGATATCTACTTTATGTGTGTACAGTGTTCATGGTTTTACACTGGTCCAAACCAGAGCAGAGAGGATTCATGGTTTTACACTGGTCCAAACCAGAGCAGAGAGGATTCATGGTTTTACACTGGTCCAAACCAGAGCAGAGAGGATTCATGGTTTTACACTGGTCCAGACCAGAGCAGAGAGGATTCATGGTTTTACACTGGTCCAGACCAGAGCAGAGAGGATTCATGGTTTTACACTGGTCCAGACCAGAGCAGAGAGGATTCATGGTTTTACACTGGTCCAGACCAGAGCAGAGAGGATTCATGGTTTTACACTGGTCCAGACCAGAGCAGAGAGGATTCATGGTCTGAACCAAGTGGATCAGGAGAAAATCCCCTGGAGGAATGCTAACTTTTTGACTCTGGACCAAAGCTGAGGCTGATGCTGATTATTACTAATGTCAGCATTTTAGAATTATCAATTTAATTTTTTATTTTTGCTGCTACTGGACACCTGCATTTCTCCTCTTAGTATTAATAAAGTGTCTATCTTTTTTATACATCTCAAATATACTCTGCAACTTATTACTGTAGTTGTAGATTATGGTGTTCCCTCATCATTACAACATGACATGACTTTTTACTGACTAATCCACGTCCAAACACACAAGAAGGCGAATCCAATCCATGTATTGTATGTATGATGAATGTATGTGTGTGATTTTAATAAAAACCTTTGGTATAGAGTATTTCTCTTTAACACATGCCCCTGACCTCTCCTCCTCTGCTCCTCCTCCTCCCTCTTCCTCTGGATTTGCTCCATCGTTCTCCTTCTCTCCTGTTGCCTCCGGACCTCTCGCTCTCGACGCTCCTGCTGCATCCTCTCCTTCCTCTGCTCCTCTTCCTCACGTCGCTGCGTCTCCTCTTCCTCCACCTGCTTTTTCAGCCTGGAAGAGGAAAATAATCTACAACACGAGCCAATGGAAAACAAACTATAACAGTGTTTTTCAACCAGTGGGACGTGGCCTGTCAGTGGGCCACGTCTGACAGGTGTACCTTGGGAAAATATCCAGTATCAACTAATTGGTCAAAATATTGTGAAATCGAAAATAGATAGAAGAGTAGAAATTCTTGTTTGCACTTCTATGATTTTCTAAATAACACACTTTGATTGTTTGACTGTTTTGTGAATAACGGCTTCAGAGTCACATCAGTTTGAACTAAAGTGGCCCTCTTACTAAAAGTCTGGACACCCCTGGTCTAATGCAAAGCCGCACAGACAGACTCAGACACAGACAGACTCAGACACAGACAGACTCAGACACAGACAGACACAGACACACTCAGACACAGACAGACACAGACAGACTCAGACACTGACAGACTCAGACTGACTCAGACACAGACAGACTCAGACACAGACAGACTCAGACACAGACACACTCAGACACAGACAGACTCAGACACAGACAGACTCAGACACAGACAGACTCAGACATAGACAGACTCAGACACAGACAGACTCAGACACAGACAGACTCAGACACAGACACACTCAGACACAGACAGACTCAGACACAGACAGACTCAGACATAGACAGACTCAGACACAGACAGACTCAGACACAGACAGACTCAGACACAGACAGACTCAGACACAGACAGACTCAGACACAGACTCAGACTCAGACAGACTCAGACACAGACAGACTCAGACACAGACCGACTCAGACACAGACAGACTCAGACACAGACACACTCAGACACAGACAGACTCAGACACAGACAGACTCAGACACAGACAGACTCAGACATAGACAGACTCAGACTCAGACAGACTCAGACACAGACAGACTCAGACACAGACAGACTCAGACTCAGACAGACTCAGACACAGACAGACACAGACAGACTCAGACACAGACAGACTCAGACACAGACAGACTCAGACTCAGACAGACTCAGACACAGACAGACACAGACAGACACAGACAGACTCAGACACAGACAGACTCAGACTGACTCAGACACAGACAGACTCAGACACAGACACAGACAGACTCAGACTCAGACAGACTCAGACACAGACACAGACTTACTCAGACACAGACAGACTCAGACACAGACACAGACTTACTCAGACACAGACAGACTCAGACACAGACAGACTCACAGACAGACTCAGACACAGACAGACTCAGACTCAGACAGACTCAGACACCGACAGACTCAGACACCGACAGACTCAGACACCGACAGACTCAGACACAGACAGACTCACAGACAGACTCAGACACAGACAGACTCAGACTCAGACAGACTCAGACACAGACTGACTCAGACACAGACAGACTCAGACACAGACACAGACAGACTCAGACACAGACTCAGACAGACTCAGACACAGACAGACTCAGACACAGACACAGACAGACTCAGACACAGACTCAGACAGACTCAGACACAGACAGACTCAGACAGACACAGACTCAGACACAGACAGACACAGACAGACTCAGACACAGACAGACTCAGACACAGACAGACTCAGACACAGACAGACTCAGACTCAGACAGACTCAGACTCAGACTCAGACAGACTCAGACAGACACAGACACAGACTCAGACTCAGACACAGACAGACACAGACACAGACACAGACAGACTCAGACACAGACTCAGACAGACACAGACACAGACAGACCCAGACACAGACAGACACAGACACAGACAGACTCAGACTCAGACACAGACAGACACAGACACAGACACAGACACAGACTCAGACTCAGACACAGACACAGACTCAGACACAGACAGACTCAGACACAGACAGACTCAGACACAGACAGACATAGACAGACTCAGACAGACTCAGACACAGACAGACTCAGACACAGACAGACACAGACAGACTCAGACACAGACAGACTCAGACACAGACAGACTCAGACTCAGACAGACTCAGACACAGACAGACACAGACAGACACAGACAGACTCAGACACAGACAGACTCAGACTGACTCAGACACAGACAGACTCAGACACAGACAGACTCAGACACAGACACAGACAGACTCAGACTCAGACAGACTCAGACAGACTCAGACACAGACACAGACTTACTCAGACACAGACAGACTCAGACACAGACAGACTCAGACTCAGACAGACTCAGACACCGACAGACTCAGACACCGACAGACTCAGACACAGACAGACTCAGACTCAGACAGACTCAGACACAGACTGACTCAGACACAGACAGACTCAGACACAGACACAGACAGACTCAGACACAGACAGACTCAGACACAGACAGACTCAGACACAGACACAGACAGACTCAGACACAGACTCAGACAGACTCAGACACAGACAGACTCAGACACAGACAGACTCAGACAGACACAGACTCAGACACAGACAGACTCAGACACAGACTCAGACAGACTCAGACACAGACAGACTCAGACACAGACACAGACAGACTCAGACACAGACTCAGACAGACTCAGACACAGACAGACTCAGACACAGACAGACTCAGACAGACACAGACTCAGACACAGACAGACTCAGACACAGACAGACTCAGACACAGACAGACTCAGACACAGACAGACACAGACAGACTCAGACACAGACAGACTCAGACACAGACAGACTCAGACACAGACAGACTCAGACACAGACAGACTCAGACTCAGACAGACTCAGACACAGACAGACTCAGACACAGACAGACTCAGACATAGACAGACTCAGACACAGACACACACAGACACACTCAGACTCAGACTCAGACAGACTCAGACTCAGACTCAGACACAGACACAGACACAGACACAGACACAGACACAAACAGACACAGACAGACTCAGACACAGACTCAGACAGACACAGACACAGACAGACCCAGACACAGACAGACACAGACACAGACAGACTCAGACACAGACAGACACAGACACAGACAGACACAGACAGACTCAGACACAGACTCAGACAGACACAGACACAGACAGACTCAGACACAGACAGACACAGACACAGACAGACACAGACACAGACAGACACAGACACAGACAGACACAGACACAGACAGACACAGACAGACTCAGACACAGACTCAGACAGACACAGACACAGACAGACTCAGACTCAGACAGACACAGACACAGACAGACCCAGACACAGACAGACACAGACACAGACAGACTCAGACACAGACAGACACAGACACAGACAGACACAGACACAGACAGACACAGACACAGACACAGACAGACACAGACACAGACAGACACAGACACAGACAGACACAGACAGACTCAGACACAGACTCAGACAGACACAGACACAGACACAGACAGACACAGACACAGACACAGACAGACTCAGACAGACACAGACAGACACAGACAGACACAGACTCAGACTCAGACTCAGACACAGACACAGACAGACCCAGACACAGACAGACACAGACACAGACAGACTCAGACTCAGACACAGACAGACACAGACACAGACACAGACACAGACTCAGACACAGACACAGACTCAGACACAGACAGACACAGACAGACTCAGACTCAGACACAGACAGACACAGACACAGACAGACTCAGACAGACACAGACAGACACAGACAGACACAGACTCAGACTCAGACTCAGACACAGACACAGACTCAGACACAGACAGACACAGACAGACACAGACAGACACAGACAGACACAGACACAGACTCAGACTCAGACACAGACACAGACTCAGACTCAGACTCAGACACAGACAGACACAGACAGACTCAGACACAGACTCAGACAGACACAGACACAGACAGACTCAGACACAGACAGACACAGACACAGACAGACACAGACACAGACTCAGACAGACACAGACACAGACAGACCCAGACACAGACAGACACAGACAGACTCAGACACAGACAGACACAGACACAGACAGACACAGACACAGACAGACACAGACACAGACACAGACAGACACAGACACAGACAGACACAGACAGACTCAGACACAGACTCAGACAGACACAGACACAGACAGACACAGACACAGACACAGACAGACTCAGACAGACACAGACAGACACAGACAGACACAGACTCAGACTCAGACTCAGACACAGACACAGACAGACCCAGACACAGACAGACACAGACACAGACAGACTCAGACTCAGACACAGACAGACACAGACACAGACACAGACACAGACACAGACACAGACACAGACTCAGACACAGACACAGACTCAGACACAGACAGACACAGACAGACTCAGACACAGACAGACACAGACACAGACACAGACAGACTCAGACAGACACAGACAGACACAGACAGACACAGACAGACTCAGACTCAGACACAGACAGACACAGACACAGACACAGACAGACTCAGACAGACACAGACAGACACAGACAGACACAGACTCAGACTCAGACTCAGACACAGACACAGACTCAGACACAGACAGACACAGACACAGACACAGACAGACTCAGACAGACACAGACAGACACAGACACAGACAGACACAGACAGACACAGACACAGACTCAGACTCAGACACAGACACAGACTCAGACTCAGACACAGACAGACACAGACTCAGACTCAGACACAGACTCAGACTCAGACTCAGACACAGACAGACACAGACACAGACACAGACTCAGACACAGACAGACACAGACTCAGACAGACTCAGACACAGACACATAACGGCGGTGGAGGGACGTGCAGACCTGGCCTCTTCCTTCCTCCTCTGTCGGTCGTTGTGCAGCTCAGTCTTCAGTCTTTGCTCCAGTTCGTTCTTCTGCTGCTGTCGTCTCTGCTCTTCCTCCTGCTCCCTCCTCTTCCTCTTCCTCGCCTCCTCCTGTCGTTCCATCTGGACTCTCTCCATTTCAAGCACAGTGTCGTTCTGGTCCCTCACTGACCGCTGAGTCACGGCGACTTCCTGAAATATGACAACAGAAAAGGCTTGTAAATGTTAGCGCCGGTTAGCACAGTTGAAGGATCTTAAAAATATAGAATTAGCTCAAAAAAACACAATACTGTAAATAAAAAATATATATAATTAACCCTGCGAGGCCCAATTTGTACATCTTAATTTCTTAATAACTTAAACGTGAAATAAGGATACATTTTTATCTAAATTAGAGAAAAAATAAGGATTGCCAATAAATAAGGCCTAAAGTTTATGTATGAACTAAATGAACCCTAATGATTTGCATATTATGACGTCATAGGGGCGTGGCAATTGTGGATTTTAATGATTTTTTTAATGAATTTACTAACAGACACAAATCTATGGGACATGAACTCGGACATAAGGAAATATAGTAAAAGAGTAAATCATTGTGTGGCGGGAGTTTGAATGAATTTTGTCGCAATTGGTTGTTTAGTTTCCAAACAGTCAATCGTGGCGCCTCGAGGGTAGGGTCTATAAGGACACTTTTAAGGATTGGGGTGATGAAGTAGCCTGGTCCACACCATAGTACTAATTACATTTCATACTAAGGTCTGGATTGTCTCCATTGACTCCGTGAACAGGTGGGAGGGGCTAACTCCTTTTGCAGATTGAAACCATTGGATCTGAGTTTACTGTGACGTATGTAATGAGCTCAAGTGAGTCGTTAGCATTTAGCCTAGCTTTAGCATTTAGCCTAGCTTGAGCCATCTCCTTTGCCGCTAACGGAGCCCGTGGGGAGTAGCGCCACAATCTTTGCAGAGATTACATTTGCTAAACATTCCTCTTGCTCCAGCTTCAGTTTCTTGATAGAACCAGACCAGAATACTTTACTATCACATTCTTCACCAAACTACAACCTGCACGTTCAACACAAACTCTGCCGTCACCCACATCTAACTACAACACCCGCCTCCCGCGCTCTCTGATTGGTCGGATGGAATTCAACCGATTGTAATCACGGACACAGGGACCAGACCCAGACGTTACCTGCAGGACATGATGATGGACCTGAGAGAACAGATGGATAAGACCAGGGTAATGATGAAGTAGAATCCCGGCTTTCCTTGAGTCAGATGTGGGTCTTACCTCGGGCTGAGTCAAATGTGGGTCTTACCTCGGGCTGAGTCAAATGTGGGTCTTACCTCGGGCTGAGTCAAATGTGGGTCTTACCTCGGGCTGAGTCAAATGTGGGTCTTACCTCGGGCTGAGTCAAATGTGGGTCTTACCTCGGGCTGAGTCAAATGTGGGTCTTACCTCGGGCTGAGTCAAATGTGGGTCTTACCTCGGGCTGAGTCAAATGTGGGTCTTACCTCGGGCTGAGTCAAATGTGGGTCTTACCTCGGGCTGAGTCAAATGTGGGTCTTACCTCGGGCTGAGTCAAATGTGGGTCTTACCTCGGGCTGAGTCAGATGTGGGTCTTACCTCGGGCTGAGTCAGATGTGGGTCTTACCTCGGGCTGAGTCAGATGTGGGTCTTACCTCGGGCTGAGTCAGATGTGGGTCTTACCTCGGGCTTGGTTGGGTTCAGCATCAGCCTCTCCTCTGGGACCGTGACCGTGGAGCAGGTGGACAGACGGGACAGGCCCCCTGCAGTGTTCCCCGGGGCTGTCCCACCATCACAGGACGAGGACAGAGACTTTTGAGAGCTGCTGTGGTCCAGGACGGATCCAGGACTGGCCCCGGACCTCAGAGACCTCAGGGACCTCACAGACCTGCTGTGCTTCTCTGAGCTCAGTCCAGAGTCTTTCCTGGAAACAGTCTCTCCATCTTCCACTTCACCCGACTCTCCAAACTTCTGTTTTGAGTTATTTCTTTGTTTATTGACTTTTTCTTCCACATTATGGTGATTGTTTATCTCCTCTGTTGATGAAGTTGGACTCATGTCTTGTGAAAAAGGAAAGAAAACCTTTGTGTTTGTTAAAGATCCACAGTAAAATGACAATATTGAAACCTAAAGTACACTTGACCATGAACAAAACAGAAATATTCAAGCACATTCTATGTCAGTATTTTATCCCACGTTGGGAAACAAAATGATCTATTCAAAAGGACTCCTCCATTGGATTTAGGATTTTTATAACAAACTAATCAAAATGGATCAATGTGACAAAATGCTTCAGACGTATTTAAACCCATTTTTCAGTTATTTTGGGATGGGACAGTATGATAATCTGCTGGTAAGGTTTCATATGACGTCAGTGAATAACATACGTGTGACAGGACGTGACATATCCTGGCGCTGCAGTCTGCCGGGTTTATACACGGAGATATAGTAGAAGAAGAAGTGGTTTATAGACGGAGATATAGTAGAAGAAGAAGCATCTTTTTGTGCGGTGTACGTTTGTAGCAACCGCACAAATAGAGAGAAAGACCAGAGTTTGTTCATGTTCCAACTGTGGTCTCATATAAAGGAGGACACTTTGAAACAGTCACTGGAATGAGGCGGAGGTGGATCAAGGCTTTCCCAGATAAGCGCCCCCTGCAGGCCACCCCAATGAAACACAGCCATTTCTTCTGTTTTTCTTTCCTAAAATGCCCGAAATCAAGACTCTTTTGAGAAATATTTGTTAGTCCTTCCTTAGAATTGAGTGTCCCCGATTAAGACTGTTCCAACAACCGTACACCGCACAGGAGGAGAGCCTTTGACTCCAGAACAGACTTTATATGGTTTTCAATGGGAGCAAAACTGTCCCATCTCTGCTCATGCGCCCCCTACAGGCCAGGTTCATGAAACCTAAGAATTCTTTTATGTGTATACTTGGCTGGAGAAGAATGAGGATATGATATTAGTGGATTATCATCAGCAGACCTTTACAGACACCTTTTTAAGTGTTATATATTATAGTATAGTCTATAGTATTAGCATTATGTCATGTTACCTGATGGAATGACTTTGTTTTTGAACCTTTCTCTGCCTTTCTCTCTCTCTCGGGACACATCTTCCACATCATAATAACCTTGATTGTTCTCTTCTTTACTGAAATCTCTGGTCTTGTCATCGTTGCTCTTTGCTCCTCTCGTCTGTCAGAATGGATTGTTCAGTAAAATGTTCTTTCTGTTAGATTTGTAGCTTAAATCCCTTACAGCGCTGGTGTTATCATGTTTTCTGTCATCCGGCTGGAAATGATGAGCTGTCGTTCTATTTTCTGTTTCTTCTCCTAAAGGCGTTTGGTTATTATGATTTGATCTTGTCTCTTTTGGGTTTTCTCTGAATCAAACAGTTCAAAATGTCAATTATGTCCAAGAAGTCATAATCAATATCAGTGAGGAGCGGTTTTACTTGTTGGATCGAGTCCCTCCATGAGTCCCCTTTGCTTTAGTCTTCCCATTACTTTCTCCCTCAGTATTATTTAATATTTTATCTTCGGTGCTGGAGGGTGTTTCGTTTGGTTCCTCTGTAGATACTTCTCTGTTAAAGACACAAAAACATTATGCATCATGACAGAAATGTAGTCCATAAATAGTTAAAGACCCGGTATGTTTTATGCTTTCATTTAAACATGTGTGGGGCTATTTTATTGTTTGTGAATTGGTTATTTAAAAACATTTACAAAACCAAGACCAGCACTATCTGCCCTACACCAATCTGGCAACCCACCAGGGCCTCATTCTGCTCTCTGATTGGATGATCATAAACATTAATATTACTGAACATGTTTTTTAATTAATAATAACTCTGCTTTTGCTCAGAAAGCGACAGATATGATTTAATTTTGAGCTATTATTTAGAGCAGGGGGGTTAAGCTCATTTTGGGTGAGGGCCAAAACAAAAATAGTATAAAAGTGGCATAAAAACTTGTCATTTTTGTTTTTTGTTATATGTTTTCATCTTTTGACGTATCAACTGAATTTGACATGAATTTGGACATCACTTTTTTGTAGGTTTGATTTCAACCAGAACTGGGAGAAACATCAAGAAGAGATTTACTTGAAAGCTGAAAATTGAATACAAAAATCATAATAAAATAACTATAACTTCTGATTCTTCTGATGTGTCGTTTTATAATTTTAGAACATAATAAATTGTGGTGGGTTCTTTTCCTGAAAAAAATAAGCTTTAAAATCAAGTATAACATGCCTTGGTATCCTGATAATGCGAGTTACTGTTATAACGATAAATGATAATCTTTCATGATTTAGGGACACACATAAAAGATGCCGAAGTGAAAATGAAAACATGACACACTGCCCCTTTAAGAGAATAACATAAAACCACCAACAGCTGCAGCAGTGGAGAGAGTCGACCAGGCTTTTCTCTTGACTTTAGCTCTTCTCTCTCCTCCAGATTAGACAAGCACAACACAATATCTTCACCTTCCTCATGTGTAGGGCTTTTGTTTTGTCTGACCGTGACTTCATTTGCTTCCTGTAGATCACTGTTTCCCACCACACCTGGAGACAAAGAATATTTAAACCAAATATTTAACACGGATGTGACTTTGATCAATGCTCAAACGAAACATGTGATATACAAGTTACCAGGATCAGAATTGGTCATTTTTTCCAACCCATGACCAGATCTGTGTAAATCTGAGGGCTAAAACAAAACAACATCAATTCCTCCCAGAGAAGTGATCCCCTGAAAAGATTTTACAATGTTTCATGTTGAATGTGAAGTGTTTGCTGAGATCTTACTTTATTCATGCGGTGGTCTTGAACAGTGTTGATAATTTTCATATCTTTCTCCGTCTCTGTGAAGATGACAGAACTAATATTGACAGAACATGTACAATACTAACTAAGTATTGTACATGACCAGAGCAAATCTTTAAATTGTTACTTTTGTATATATCAGTGTGGGCAGGTCCTGGCTCAAAAATGTCCAAAATGACGTGCGCTGACATGCTGCAGTACCACCCCGGGCCTGTGGGGGTGGACCCGGAATAAGAATTAGCCAATGCTAACATATAGCATTAGCAGACCTCTGGAAAACGTCTTTACAGGATGGTCCAAAAGTTGTCTCTTGGCCCAAAGCTCCGTTCCACATGTGTGTCAATGCTGAGTGTTCTGGACCAGTCTAGTTTAGTCGCTGTGGACGTTAGAAGTCACTCGTTTAAATGAATGGGGCTCGTGCAGCTGACGCATGCACAGATGTGTTTTTTCACATTTTCCAGCCCCCGCGGCCATTTTGAAACTGCCCATAGACCGCAGAAGTTGTGGCACATTAGTTAGAACATTCTATAGTATTTATTTATATTGTACCTGCGTGTTCAGGTTGCAGTGTGACAAACCACGGAAGCTTCTCTCCTTTTGCTGAAATCACCTCGAGAGCTGTGGGAAAAATCGACTGGTTAGTGTATTGCATTTGTTCCTATACTAACATATTATCAAAAAACAATTTGAAATCCATAGTTGTATAATTCCTGTAATGTAACTGTGGTATGTTACAAACTTTGTCCTTGAGCACTTTGCTGGATGGTGTCAAACATGGAGAGATGGATGACTTCACCATCAGGGCCCAAGATCAGACTGCCCACAGACGTCCCATTTAGATCTGAGAAGAACATGAGATGAGATGAAAGAACCTTTATGTTCCACGATGAGAACATTTTGGTTTTGCCGCACACACTACGGAACAGTGGGAATAAGTGGGGCTCAGTTGGTAGAGCATTGGCCTTTGAGTCTGAAGGTCGTGGGTTTGAGGCCACCACGAGATCTGTGTGTATGTGTATGTGTACAGTATGCATCAAACTGAAATTTCCCTATTGTGGAATGAATAAAGGACCTTCTTAAAAGGAAAAGTCAAAACAAAACACCGGCTAACACACTGTCCCATTCAAATCTCATTAATAGTAAAGTACATTAAACTCTGTTACCTCTGAGCTCCAGAGGCAGGACCCCCCGCACCCCCTCCATGCTGGGGGGGTCTCTGCAGTCTCCTGAGAGCTTCTGCAGAAAAGCCAAAGAGCTCTGACGCCCCGGGCCTCTTCTCCCCGAGAGAAACCCAGGAACACACGTCTCTGCAACTACAAAAGCATTGTCACTAAATTGTATTATTATTTAATTGTTATGTACTTTAAAGTTTGGGATTATGTTCTGTAAAATTTGGGATTATGTTCTGTAAAGTTTGGGATTATGTGCTGTAAAGTTTGGGATTATGTACTGTACAATTTGGGATTATGTACTGTAAAGTTTGGGATTATGTGCTGTAAAGTTTGGGATTATGTTCTGTAAAGTTTGGGATTATGTACTGTACAATTTTGGATTATGTTCTGTAAAGTTTGGGATTATGTACTGTAAAGTTTGGGATTATGTTCTGTAGAGTTTGGGATTATGTACTGTAAAGTTTGGGATTATGTACTGTAAAGTTTGGGATTATGTACTGTAAAATTTGGCGTTATGTTCTGCACCTTCTGCTGGGATTAGAACCATGCTGTTTACAGAGGTCTGTCCCCTCAGTAATCTCCATGTCTCTTGTTTGCCGCCCAGATTGTCCGCCCTTTTCTGGGTCTTTTCTGGAGACAAAACTGCTTTACTGAATAATATCAAGAGCAGTAAAGGTTTTTAATAATAATTTGTAGTACTAGCTTACCCTCACATGTCTCTTGTACCAGTCGAGGGAGGAATGGCTGAGCTCCATTGGTGTTTTTTAAAAGTTTTTCTTCTGATTGTTTGAGAGACAAAATCCGTCTTGTGTCTTCTCCTCTTTCTTCAATGAAAGGAAGGTGTTCTCTCTCATTAATTATCTACAAAAATATAACATTTAGTATTTCTAGCGCCAAATATATTTTAAAGAATGAGAGATCCAGCATCACACTGTGTTCACTTACTCTGTGTGATTGCATTTTGTGAGTTTCAAAGTTTCCAGGTTTAGCTGTGGTCAAAGAAGGAAGAAACCCTCCTGTTTTTACAGAATAATACAAACTATAATCAAGCTTTTTATCAAAATTCACATGTCTGTTTGTTTTTCTAATTAATGAAAGCAATTACCCTTTTCAGGCCGTTTTGTGCTGGATTGTGTCACTGTTGTCTTCTCCTCATTTCTTTTACAATTATCATTATTTTTAGCCAATTTAGCCGTTCCCACTTGTTCAATTTGCTCTTGACTGGTCCTTAATTGATTCTAAAAAAGAAAAGGGAAAATGGCTGAATTACGTTTAAACTTAAGGTTAAAGATTCTTGTTTTTGTCCATACGTCCTCGTCATCTCCAGAGTCTGCGGTGATTGGAGGCAGAACCAAATCTATCCTCCTTTTCTGTCCATCTACAAGAGAATAATGTGTAAATGGTGTTTCTTTTTGCATTTATAAATCCTCTGCAGTACTCAAACCTTCGCAGTGACTTTGCAGACGTGAAGTGAGCTCTGGTTGGCAAAGAAAAAAGTATTTTACATCCTCTGAATGTGCACAGTAAAGAGCTGGAAGTGTGCTGGAGACGACAGGATTGCTTTCCTAAAAACAAGACTAAATAGTAAAACAGATCTGACCACAAACAGATTAAGCCTGATGATGATTTACATTTACTCTCCCGTAGTTTTTAGCAGACTGTGTAAACTGTATCGTAGCGGTTTCCTCTTGAATGACCGGCTGAGTGCGACACTGACCTTCATCTTTTCCATCATAAATGTTCAATGTTGCCAAACCCTGAAAGCACAATCCGAAAAAAAACAGTCAAATATATGATTATTGAAGGGAGTAGAACGCTGTGGACTTGGGCTGTGATAAAGCTGTTTCAACCACAGTTGAACCTGATGAAATCTCACACAACAAAGAGACAAAGTTAATCTTTTACTTGTTACATTGTACAAGGAGAATGTCTTGACAGAGGCAAGGCACAGACCCCAGTCTCTCTCAGGACAAGTCTGAAGATTCACAGTCTGCAAGCCCCTTTTGGTAGAACAAGACACACCTTCGTATGCAGATGGGAAAGGAAGAAACCAACACAACAAAAGACACTCCATATTAGCGTATACAAAGACTGCTTCCTCTGGTGTTTAACATATGAGCTCCCCAGACTTCCCGGAGTCTTCCTGAAGCTAAAGTGAATTACAATACAGAGCATTTAGCATATAGCCACATATGATTTACCAAAATGATAACTTAAGTTACATTCCAATATCATTCCCTCCTTTTTATCCTTTTGATAAATCAAACAATCTATGTTTGAACATGGAGAACATGGAGAACTGAAAATGAAAAAACACACATCCAAACTGAAAAAGAAAAAATGTTCATAGTATAATTTCACATTGTTGTTCCATAAACTATTCCCCTATTGAGACATAGATGGCTCAAAACTGAACAATGTATTAACTTGAAATGTATTAACTTTGGTTATCAAATTCAACACCACGCACACGCCCAAAAGCCCGAAAACCCAAAGTCCATTTTCACAGTCCATAGTCAGTCCATTTGACACTTCCTCTCGACCCCTCCTCATGTTTGGTTATGACCAGAAATGTCCACTCTGTTCCTGTTTCGAAACTCTTCTCTGTCTGCGTTTCCGACGCAAGACTAGCAGCAAGCCGTTCTCCAACAACGACACAAAGCTGAACTTTCAAGTCGCAAATGTACCAAGATGTCTCCTTTAATTCTCACGTCCATTTAAAGCTGCACTAACTGACTTTATTTTTGTATTCATTACGAAAATGCTATCCATGTCCGTGTAGGGCATTGGGATATACGTCCTTTTGACGAAAAAGTAGCGCAGATTTGTGCTGGCGTGACATTATATTTTAGATCGAGTTTTGATGAAACAAGGAAGAGAATGTGTTTCGGGTCGCAGATTGTGACCAATCACCGCGGACCACTGGCCCCCACTTTTGTGAGAAATCTACAGGTCCGTTAGCATAGACGGCTGAGTTAGCACAACAAGACGAGGAGATAACCTGAAGCTTCGTCTCTTCGTCACCGGTTACTGCTTACACAGCGAGACAGCCATCCAAAAGAAAGTCTCGGTCCTCCGCGCTTCCCGGTTCTATCGTTCTGTGGTCACGCCATCCACGTACAAATCCATGTCCATGTATTATCCATATTGGCAAACCCTGGTTCACTGCTAAACTCCGGCAGCTCAGGAAAGCAAAGGAGTCTGCTTTCAGGGAGGGGGACCGCAGCGGCTACAAAGCAGCTAAATATCAGTTCAGGAAAGAACTGAAAGCAGCCAAGTCCCGGCACAGAGAACGACTACAGGAGCAGTTTGGTAACAACGATACTGCCTCTGTCTGGAGGGGCCTACGGGAGATCACCAACTACAAACCCAAAGCCCCCCCCTGTGCTGACGACCACAAGCTAGCTGACGAACTGAACTTATTTTTCAGTCGCTTTGATGCTGCCCCTGACACCTCTCCCTCCCCCACCCCCCACTACTCTAACGACCCACCCATCAGCCCTGCCCCCAGCCTAACAATAGCCTCTAAAGACATTAAACAACTCTTCCTGAGGCTGCACCCCCGCAAAGCTCCTGGCCCGGACCACGTGTCTCCAGCCACTCTGAGACACTGCGCCAGTGAGCTTACTCCTGTGTTCACGGACATTTTCAACTCCTCTCTGCAGTCCTGCCATGTCCCGGCCTGCTTCAAATCCTCCATCATTGTCCCCGTCCCGAAGAAGCCCAGGATCACAGGACTCAACGACTACAGACCTGTAGCACTTACATCTGTCGTCATGAAGTCATCTGAACGCCTGGTTCTCTCCCACCTCAAGTCCCTCACCTCCCCCCTCCTGGACCCCCTGCAGTTCGCCTACAGAGCCAACAGATCTGTAGACGACGCCATTAACCTGGCCCTCCACCACATCCTACAGCACCTGGACTCCCCGGGGACCTACGCCAGGGTCCTGTTCGTGGACTTCAGCTCTGCCTTCAACACAATCCTGCCATCCCTGCTCCAGGACAAGCTCTCCCAGCTCAACGTGCCCAATTCCACCTGCAGGTGGATCACTGACTTCCTGACGGACAGGAAGCAGCGAGTGCGTCTGGGGAAGAATGTCTCGGACTCTCGGATTATAAATACAGGAGCCCCACAGGGCTGTGTTCTTTCTCCCCTGCTCTTCTCCCTGTACACCAACCACTGCACCTCCAGCCACGACTCTGTGAAGCTGATCAAGTTCGCGGACGACACCACCCTCATTGGACTAATCTCCAACAACGATGAGTCCGCCTACAGGAGGGAGGTGGACCGGCTGGTGTCCTGGTGTCTCCTACAGGAGGGAGGTGGACCGGCTGGTGTCCTGGTGTCTCCTACAGGAGGGAGGTGGACCGGCTGGTGTCCTGGTGTCTCCTACAGGAGGAGGTGGACCGGCTGGTGTCCTGGTGTCGCCTACAGGAGGGAGGTGGACCGGCTGGTGTCCTGGTGTCTCCTACAGGAGGGAGGTGGACCGGCTGGTGTCCTGGTGTCTCCTACAGGAGGAGGTGGACCGGCTGGTGTCCTGGTGTCTCCTACAGGAGGGAGGTGGACCGGCTGGTGTCCTGGTGTCTCCTACAGGAGGGAGGTGGACCGGCTGGTGTCCTGGTGTCTCCTACAGGAGGGAGGTGGACCGGCTGGTGTCCTGGTGTCTCCTACAGGAGGGAGGTGGACCGGCTGGTGTCCTGGTGCAGTGGTAACAACCTGGAGCTGAACGCCCAGAAGACAGTGGAGATGATTGTGGACTTCAGGAAGAGCACTGTCCCCCCGCCCCCACCCTCCGTGATGGACTCCCCCATCACCTCTGTGGAGTCCTTCCGTTTCCTGGGCACCACCATCACCCAGGACCTCAAGTGGGAGCGACTATCAGCTCCTCATCAAGAAGGCCCAGCAGAGGATGTACTTCCTGCGGCAGCTCAGGAAAGCCAAGCTGCCTGCACAGATGTTGGTGCAGTTCTACACGGCCATCATTGAGTCCATCCTCACCTCCTCCATCACATCCTCCATCACCTCCTCATCACCTCCTCCATCACCTCCTCCATTACCTCCTCCATCACCTCCTCCGTCACCGTGTGGTTCGCTGGAGCCACAGTCAGGGACAAACAGAGACTACAGTGCATTGTGCGCTCTGCAGAGGAAGTGATCGGCCGCAGCCTTCCATCGCTGCAGGACCTGTACGTCGCCCGAGCTCGAGGCCGGGCTGGTCGTATCACAGCCGACCCCTCTCACCTGCACATGGACTATTCCAACCACTCTCCTCTCACCTGCACATGGACTATTCCAACCACTCCCCTCTCACCTGCACATGGACTATTCCAACCACTCCCCTCTCACCTGCACATGGACTATTCCAACCACTCCCCTCAGGCAGGAGGCTGCGGTCCATCAGGACTAGAACCTCCCGCCACAAGAACAGTTTCTTCCCCTCTGCTGTTGGACTCTTGAACACTTCTTAACCTGTCCCCCCGCCCTTTATAAAGTCACTTTACTGCCCATCATACGTCACTTTACTTCACTGTACTGCTGTCACCTTACATTGTGTGCACCATGTGCACTTGTATATTGTAAATAGTAACTGTAACTCTATTTTAAATTTAAATTTATTCTTTAGAAGTGTTTTTTATTCTTATTTTTATTATCTCTTTTTGACTGTTGCACTGAGCCAAAGCAATTTCCAAGTCTGTGACCTCCTGTTACTTACGTGGCAATAAAAATGATTCTGATTCTGATTCTGATATTGGGAGACGCTAGCTTCGTCCCAACAGTGGGTGTGTGTGGGGGGCGATAGCTTCGTGGGTGCGGGGAGGGGAGCAGAAAGAGCGAGGCCAGCGGGTCCGCGGCTTCAAAATCCCAAAGTCAGTTAGTGCAGCTTTAACTTGAACAAACGGCCAGCGCCCTCCGTGGGCCTGCACGCTTTGATCCTTGCAAATCGGACACAGACAAAAGGTCTTTAAACATCCAATTTCAATTTAGCTTATTTAGATGTCTATAGATGTCCAATTTCAGTTTAGAAGTAATGTAGAAGTTCACTCTGAAGTAATTCAATTCTAACACATTCATCATACAGGCGTAACTAGTAAGTAAGTAAGTAAGTAAGTATTTATTTATATACCGCCTTTTCACTGCAGATCTGAGTCTCAAAGCGGTTTACAATTGTTAATTTTTTTTGGGCATTTGTCTCTCACTCCACACAGAGATGGGAGCGCGGTCGCCAGTACAGGAGGCGCATGCTAGAACTATTGGACCACTTTTTTAGTGGTAGGGGAAACCGGAGTACCCGGAGGAAACCTACGCAGACACGGGGAGAACATGCAAACTCCACTCAGAAAGGCCCTGGTCCGACCGGGATTCGAACCCAGGACCTTCTTGCTGAGAGGCGAGAGTGCTATCCACTCAGCCACCGTGCCGCCCAGCTGGTACTACTAACTCTGCGTTCTTTAATTTAAAATGAACCCCGTTCACTTTTAACTGCAGTATAAAGTAGTCCCCGACTTACTCTTAATAATAACCCCGTTATTATACAGTCTATGATAGTCCCCGACTATCTAAAGATAAACCCTGTTATCCCGGCCTCGACTGTCTGCAATATAGTCCCCGACTATTTAAAGAGGATAAACCCCGTTATCCCAGGCCTTTTTTAATTTGAATCCCCGACTCAAAAAGTAAAATACCCTTTTGAATGAAACCCCGATCATTCGAGCTCTGTAAAAGTCCTTGACTAAAGGCATAACTCTGCCTTATCCT